CTTCAGTCACTAAATGGACAGTCATAAGTTGAGGATTACCTGAAGTATCCTAAAAGAGGCACACCTTTCCCCAAAACTGGGATGCCTCTTCTAAGAAATGTTTTGTCATCGTTCCTTCCCCCCCCCCCTTTGAGATTAGAAAAAGCCGTTTGTCATTTTTATAAGGTGCCTGGAAGGGCAGCTTTTGAACTAATTGAAGTCTTAAAACAGCCACCCTTTGGCGGGGAGGAACCCTCTCTTGGTCAGTGAGGAACTCCTTTATGGATTAAAGGAGCAGGAAAGGAAATGGGAAAGACTGAAGTCTGTTAAGTTGGCTGGACTCCTGGACAGGCAGAAGCCGGTGCCATAAATCAAAATAAAAGAGAAGGAACAGGAGAAATATTTGTTCCAAGTCTCAGAAAAATTGGAGAAAAATGTCCAAACATTTGGAAGAGATCATTACAGCCCACCCCAAATTAAAAACTCTCCCCCTGTGACATTATCTGCATGGCCCAAAGCTAAAATAGATCAGTAATACTTGATAAAAACATAGATGGTCAACGTTTGCGTCTGACTAGCTTTGATAAGGTTATCTAGTTTGGGTAATGAAATGTCTGCAAATAAAAACAGCAAAAATAGATTGCTAATCCTCAAACCTTATTAACTAACTCACTAAAAGGCTGTTAATTTACGTGCAGACTAATTTCATTATTTAAGCCATCATGGCCAGCTAGCCAAACCTCTGGGCAATAAAACCATGATGACAGCGATACCTGTGGATACAGCTTCAATTGAGCCCCTGGCTTGTTTGTTGCTTGCCAGGGAGAACAAATGACAAATGCAATTTTTAATTCTCCAATCCAGGTAGGGAGAACTAATTATCTTAACAACAGTCACACACAATAAAAGACAGCTGTTACCCAAAGCCATTCCTAATGGCTCCAGAAGCAACCTAGGACCATTAAGGGGGAAAAAAAATCAAGATTTGAAAAATAAAACTTATTTTCCCCCCCCAGTCCTCAAGGCAGCTATGTTCATTAAAAGCAGCATCCGCTGGGCCTTTAATTAAAAAGTTGGTGACGAAGTTTTAAATATGATTAAACAACAAAACAAGCCACAGGATGTTGATGGCTCTTTTGTGGGGGCGAAGAAAGTTACCGGCGTGAGTTTTTGCAACAGCTCCTCTCTGCTGGGATGTTTTCACATCTCCTTCATTTGGTTTTCTTAATTAAAGTGCTGGAGGGTTAGGATTCTGATAATGAATTGCTTGCTAGAATTTTGCTTGCTAGAATTTTAGAATTCTGTATGTGTGGCTTGTCCTGGTGGCCTCTCTTTTCAGAAACCAAACCATGCAATATATTTATTTATATCTTGCCTTTATTATTTTTACAAACAACTCAAGGCAACGAATATAGCTACTCCTTCTCGCAGGATAGTTCTTGTGGAGAAAATAGAAGGTGCATTGGATATTTTTGCTGCCTTGACTTATTTGTAAAAATAATAAAGACGAGGAAGGAAGGAAGGAAACCCACTGTAGTTTGCAAAGTAAAAAAGGAACAGAGAAATTGTAGGCACAATTTCACACCAATGAGACACAAAGACTATTTTTTCTTCCTGGGTCCAACAGCAGTTTAAAAGCCCCTTCATCCACCACTGAACTAAATTCCTCAACAACAACAACAACAACAACAACAACAAAAGGAGCACCCAAGTGTGAAGTCCAAAACCGGTCCAGGGCCGTTCTGAGAACTCATGATTACACCGTGACTAATGAGATTTCCCATGGCCATGTGCTGAGGCACACCTGCTTAAAACCAAGGCTGCCTTCAGCTAAACCCACTAAGCCAAGATCTGAGAAACTCCCACGGAATGTGCATGCTGGTCTGTGCAAACCATCCTAGATTCCTGCAAGAAAAAACTGCAGCAACTTGGGAGGGGGGAAAACCCTCCCCTTCTGCTAAGCTCTGATGTGCTCAGCAAGGCAACTCTATAAGAAACAACAGCCTTATCTCAAACTCACATCTGGCTAGGATCCGCTTAACCTAGCATTCACACGCTAGGTTGGCTTTTCCTGGCAAGGGAGGTTGCGGGGGGGGGGATGCCTTGAGATCCCCCCTCCTTCCAAGGAGGCAGAACCACCCGCCCGCGCCCCCAAATAAACATCAGGTACAACCTCAGCAGCCTCGGGGTCTCTTGCTCCATTCCAGCTGCGGGCGTGGGGGGGAGGGGGCGGGAGCCAGATAAGAGGGGTGCCAAACGGCCCGTCCGAAGGGGGGGGTGTCACATTGCCCCTCGCCCTTCTCCGGCCCCAAGTGGGCGGGACCCCAAATCCGGACCCGATTTGGTGGGTTTTTTTTTTTTCCACAAAGTCCCTCTTGCGACCCTCCCAGCGGTTGATGATGGTAGGGATGCTGGAAACTGCACCCCCCCAATAGGACTTAACTCTTTACCACGGGTGGAATTGGGGAGGGGGTGTCGGTGCAGCTGAACCCCTGCAAGGGGGCCCCCCCTCCACTCGCGTCTCCCACCCGGGGACGCCCCCCCAAACCTTGCCGGAGCCCTTCCCTGCCCCGCGCCCGGCCAACTTCGGCGCAGACGCCCCTTCCCCAGCCCAGCCCAGCCCGGTTGGAGGAGAGACTCACCTCCACGCCCGGGCATCGCTTTTCGGGGTCGTCCGGCCCGCCGGCAGGCCCCTCGCTCGGCAGCCGCTGCCCCGGCCGCTCCTCCGGCGGCAGCCCCGGGCGCGCAGTGCGGCCGCCTCCTCCGCCTCCAGCCAGGGCGGGCCAGGTGCCGCCTCCTCCTCCTCCTCCTGCCGCCCTCGCGGGCTAGCGGGACCCCCTCGGCGGGGCTGGGCGGCCGTCGGGGCTCGCCTGCCCGGAGGGCTCCATGCACGGAGGCAGCGCCCTGCAGCTGCAAGCCTGCCGCGTCCTCCGCCCTCTCCTCCTCCTCCGCTGCTGGGGCTCTTGCTGCAGCGGCAACGGCGGCGACCGGTTTGACAGCTCGGGCTGGACGGCGGTGGCGGCTCCCACTTCCTCCTGCTTTGCGCGCATTCCCGCTTTGCGGCCGCCGCCGCCGCTGCCGCCGCCGCGAGCGCAGCTGGGTCGTTCCAGCTGCGCCCGGGAAGCAGCGATGGCGGCGGTCCTGTGGCGGCCCCTGCCGGCCGCCGCGCGAAACTGCAGCTGCGCTTCACCCCCAACTCTAAAGCCACCGCGCCTCCCCCCTCCCGTCTCCCTCCAAGATTTGGGGGTCCCTTGGAAAGGTGGAGGGGAAGGTTGCACACTCATTCGCGCGCACACTTATTCACATTCACACACACGCAAACACAGTCGGCCGGCCGAGATACATGCTCTGTCTGCCCCTCCCAGGGCTGGGAGTGATGGGAGGCGGGCTTCTCTGCACACCTGGGGAAGGCGGGTTTGCCAAGGCGCAAAATTGCAGCTGCGCTCGATTCCAGCCCCCCCATCTGGATTTGGGAAAGGTGGGGAAGGGGGAGAGGATGGAGAAGGGTGCATCCGCACATAAGACCGGGATGCCTGCTATGCCCCTCCCAGGGTTGGGGATGATGGAAGGGGGTGTACTCTGCACATCTGGAGAAGGCAGCTGTGCCTGGAAGGAGGGGAACATATGGGTTGGCCCCTGCTAAGCCCTCAGCATCTTTCCCTCTTCTCAATTGCTGGATCCCCTGATGGAACCTGGGTTTGTTTGGATGTGGGTTTTGAGATAAACCACAATTGGCAGGATTCATGCAGGCACTTTTAAGGTCAAGGGGGAAATAAAGGTTGCCGCTGCTGCTGGGGTTAGAATTGAGCCTTTCACACGTGCAATCAGGAGAAGTCTTAAAAACTTACTGAGAAAGGAATCTTTAGTGCAGGAATCTTGCACAGGAAAAATCAGATATTTTCTACATTTCTTGCTGGAAAACCTGACATGGGCCTTAATGGGGAAGGGGATTCTCGGGATCTGCAAGGGGGGGGGGGAGAGGAATGGACAGGAAACCAAAAGCCGAATTCATGACTCAGCTTCCTGAATTACCCCGCTGATAATCAAAGCGGCCAGCGATGAAGTGAGTTTGTCAAGAGTAAATTTAAGGCTGAAATGAACCACGGAGGGAGAGATAATAGTCTGTCTGAAATTGGAAACCAGAAAGGTACATCAATTATCCCCGAGGAGATTAGTTTGGCTGCAGAATCAGAGAAAGATACATGGCTTTGAATAAAAAATAAAAGGCAGCAATTGGCTGCAAATGAACGCCGATCAATCTAGAGAAATTCTTTGCAGGCTAGCATTTCATCATTTGGAACCCAGGTGGTAACTCGCCTGCCCTTTCCCTGCTGGCTGTTTTTATTATTCTTGGGAATACAGAAAACAAGGGAAGCTTCTACGACTCTTCCAGAATTTTCTTTCCTTTAGGACTTGGTGTAATTGGATTGTGCAGGCCTAACCAGTTCTTGAATGTTTAATGGGAAAATAGCTTGCCTGAAGCCAAAGGGTCTCTCTCGCAATTTGGAAATCAGGCCCTTTGAAAGGCTAAAATAAAAAACGACTGGTTTGCAGTACTTCTCCAGGGAATGTGGAGAAATTACAATTTCTATACAATACGTGTATTTTCAAGGTTTAATGGAAAACACGGCTGGCTGGGGAATTCTGGGAATTGAAGTCCACCCATCTTCCAAGTGATCAAGAAAAAGGAGAGTGGATGAAAATGAAAGAGGCACAACTTGTTAAACAAGGACAGATCATACAAGGAATATTCATGCTTGCCTCTTTCAAATTTTTAACTTTTATATATTTTTACATTTTAATACTTCATTGTACACCGCCCAAAGTCTCTCTGTGAGGGAGATGGAGAGTTTAAAAAATAGATAGATGATAGATAGATAGATAGATCGATCCAGTTGGACACACTGGGAAATCTTTATCCTTTATGGCAACTGTGCGTGCACAATTACCTGGACTTCAAACTGTGATGGCAAAGACAAGAGGGAGGCAAAAGACGCTTAAAAAAACAACAGTTAAGCAACTTCACTTTAGACACTTAATTTTAATTCATATTTCGCGATAAAGCATGCCAAATAAAAGCTAGTGGTTTAAAAAAGAGAACTTCTGATCTCTCTCAAACTCCCTGGAATGCAATGAGATGGATATTGCAATAGTTTATTTTCCAACTTTCTTGATTTGTTGGTAACACTGCACTGTAACGTGGCAAAGGAGCTTGGGAAAAGAAGATGCAGTTTTGAATTTTAAGCTAAGAAATGTTTCCTTGCAGCTCACTTCCTCGGAAAAAGGCTGTGCGTCCTGTTAGCATCGATTTAAAAAGTCCCCACTTTGTACGTACGTACTTCACATGACAGGCTTGGCTTTGAACCTCTAAAAGTGATGAGCACCATCAAATCAATCACAACACGATAAATGTCTCAAAAAAACGAGCTGCCCTCTCAGTGTCTCTAGGCTTACAAAGAATTCAGGTCTGCTGTTTTTCGAAAATACCCCGCGTCTTCAAAAGTAGCAAAATACAAAAAAACCTGACAGATCGACTCCTTTCGGTATAAAAAAAAAATAGGGTTGTTTTTCTTTTAAATACGTGGCTCAGTACAAAATATCGGGGGGGGGGGGGAATTGTGTGCAGAGGACATGATTGTAAAAAGGCAGGGGAAGGTTTAGAAAAATACAAAACCGGTTTGCATAATTATTGTACTTTAGTGCAAATAAAGGGGTATGAGTCTTAAAAGTCGGGTCCTCTCAAATGTTTGCGGAGGTGCGTAAAATCTGGAATCTCTTCAGGGTCATACGGATGGATCCCAATTCTCGATTAATTCTTTCCAGGCGATCCTCCAGAGCTTCCTAAGGAGAATATCCGGGCAGGGCGTTCAGGATCCAGAGAGAATCAGAAAGAAAAAAACCTGTGATGATTCTGGAAATTGACATTCGCGGCTTGTCTTTTACGCGCGTGATGTATTTTGTGATCTGGATGAAATCATGGTCTGCTGCGGACAGCCTGAGATTCAACTGTTAAGCCTGAAAGAACTACAGGTAGTTTGATGATGCAACAGCACTGGAAAAAGGCATCTGCAAACGGTCCTCACACTTACGACCGTCACAGCATTCCCCAGGGTCACGTGATCAAAATTCAGGTGCTCAGCCACTGCTCTTTGCCAGGACTGCAGCATGCCAGGATTGTGGTGTCAAACGGGGGAAGCCAGCTTCACTTAACACCCGTGTGAATTCACTCAACAAAGGTGATTATTTTATTTCCCGCCCAAAGTCGCTGGAATATGATGGGTGACAAATACATTTTATAAATAAATATTATACATTTTTTCACGTAACCAAAAAGGTCGTAAAATCGGGTGTGGCTTGCTTAGCAGTGGATATTCTGTTCCCCCAATTGTGGTCATAAATCAAGGACTACCTGCACACACACAGACACACAAACAGGCGCACACTTAATCCCAGACACAACAAGAATTGTAACCTGATTCAGCCGGGCCTGTAGCGTCATCCTTCCTCTGGCGCAAGGAATTCGGCTCAGCTGGGACTCAATCTATCGGCACAGAAACATCAGGAAAGAGGCAACGCTTTAACCAAATGGGGAGAAAACCCCCACAAAGAAATAAAAACTGCCCACAAAAAAAAGCAGGCAATCTCTTTCCAGTTCAGTGGATCTGGCCAGTTTTTCAACCTGGACAACTTTATGACGTGTGGATTTCAACTCCCAGAATTCTCCAGCCAGCCATGTTTGAACTGTGGAGTCACTCCGTGTTTGCCACACTTCCCTGTGAAAATTACCTCTAAGCTGACCCTGGAAATGGTGCCGAGATGAATGTCAGATTATTCAGGCATTTCTGATGATTCACCCCAATGTTGGAGAGCCAGTTTGGTCTAGCCGTTAAGGCACCGCGCTGGGAAGCAGGAGACCATGAATTCAAATCCCACCTTAACCGTGAAAGCTGGCTGGGTGATCTTGGGCTAGTCCTTCTCTGTCAGCCCAACTCACCCCACATGGTTGTTGTTATGGGAAAAATAAGAGAAGGAAGATGGGTTGGAAATGTTTGCCGCCTTGAGCGATTTGTAGAAATAATAAAGGCAAGATACAAATAACAAATACATCATGAAAAAAACCTTAACGCCCCTAGCAAAGGTGATGTGGACCTCTCTGAAGGAAGGGGAGGGGGGAGAGAAGCCCAAACGCTTCACCTTTACCTGCTGCTTTTCTTGAGTCAGCTCGTCAAACAGCCTCTCGGTCTCTGCCAAGGTCCTAATCCTGGAAACGTACTTGAATTCGGGCTCGTAAGGCGCCGGAGGGGCCAAAGACGATCCCGACTCGCTGCTGGTGGCAGAGCGACCCTCTTCATAACTTTCCCTTGAGGAATCTCTGTTTGCTCGGGAACGCAGAGGTTGTGGGTAGGAGGAAGACTTGGAACCTTGGCGGTTTTCTGGGCAACTGGGCTGCAGTCCTGTTTACACACACACACACACACACACGAGAGAAAGGGGGGACCTGATTATAAATCAGCCACGAAATCACATTCAGAGGACAGACTTGCCTCCAGAAATTGTGGGCACCCCAATCCTGGAGGTTTTTTTTTAAAGAGATTGGACAGCCGTTTGTCTGAAATGTTACAGGGTTTCCTGATCAAGCAGGAGGTTGGACTAGAAGACCTCTGAGGTCCCCCTGTTCTTCTGTTTTACTTCCATAATGTCAGCAAAGCCTCTGAGCCCATCTGGAATTGGGGGGAGACAAGGGGGCGGGAGGATCCCAGCATCCATGCAGACCGTGGCCTTCCGCAAAGGGGTCAAAATTGGGCTCTGCAGCTTTGCGTGGGGGGCACAGAGGAGCCCACAACATGGGGCTGGCTAACCCCCATGAGAGCCCCCCCCCGCCTCTAATAATCACTCAATGGCCATCTTGAGATTTTTTTTACCCTTTTGAAGTTTGTAAGGTTGTTATTCTACATTTCTTAAAAAACCCTAACTTAATTTTAATATTAATTTTTCATCGTTTGTTTTATTTTATCCATTGTATTATCTTGTACGCCGCCCAGAGCCCCTCTTGGAGGTAGACAGGCGGTCTAGAAACATGAAATACGAATAAACAAAGAAAGACAGCCGCCTCTCAGCAATCCAGACCGAAAGAGGTTCAGGAATGTGGCAGATCAGCAGTTTTCGAGGAATTTGAACGGCAAAGGATCCCACCTACTGCAAAATTTACCTTCTGTGTCGCCTCCTGAGCAAAACTGAAGCCTTTTTCGTGGGCTGCCGTAGTGCAGAGCGGGCCCAGCGACAACGTCATCCAGACGGATATCAAATCTAGCGTAGAAAAGAAGAAAGTTCCATGCAAGGAGGCTTGTATTTCTCCCCCTCTCTCTCTTCCCAAGCGTGTGCTGCTAAAATTTATATTTTTTTTTCTGCCAATACTGAATAAATACAGGTAATCCTCAACTCACAAGAGTTTGTTTAGTGACCATTCAGAGTTACAACGGCTCTGGAAAAAAAGGGACTACATGACACTTACGACTGCTGCAGGATCCCCATGGTCACGTAAGAAAAATCCAGTCTGACTCACATTTACAACGGTTGCATTTGTCCCGGGGTCCCGTGATCCCCTTTTGCGACTTTCTAACATGCAAAGTCAATGGGGAAGCCAGATTCACTTAACAGCCATGTTGCTCGCTTAACAACAGCACTGATTCACTTAACAAAGGAGACAAGGTCGTAAAACAGGGCAAAATTCACCCAGCAAGTCTCTCACTTAGTGACATGAGCGTGGGGCTCAATTTCTGGCGGTAAATTGAGGAATGCCTGTGTAGTAAGGTTCCAGAGGCCATTTCCTATCAATTCGAGAGAGCACGAACTAAATTGGGAAGTCGACCCAAACAAGCAGAAGATCTACTTGCCGCCGGTTCGTCCATACCTGGTCACCGCGTCTTCGTTTCTGCTGAGAAAGTAGCTGAAACCCGGGGACAAATTTTCTTTGGGGGAGCGCTTGGGGCTGTAGGTCACGGCCACCGGAGTCAACATGGTCTCCCGCTTGGCTGTCGAGAGAAAGCAGGCAGGAGTCCTTAAACCTCGAAGAAGACGTCAAGAGCAAAGAATCGGGGCCGTAAGTTAAACTGCAGCTCAGAAGATTTATTGCTCACACCTACAGACTCGAGGTAGCTGAAGTTCGATCTTAGATTGGCACCAACGGAATTCAGGAAGGGTTGAACTTGGACCGTTTGTGGCAGCGTAACGATTCTAGGCTCATGACTCGCTTAACTCCCCCCCTGCTCTGCCTGCTCTCCTATAGAAGGCACCCGAAGCTTAGTTATCTGGCGTTCACACACACCCTTTGCAATAAAGGCATGCTGCTCAAGGACTTGTTCAGAGGGTTTTCTGTCCAAGTGAGATCTACATGGGGTGGGCTTTTTGGGGTGTTACTGAACCCCACTTCCCATCATTGGGATAGCAAGAGGTTGCAGTCCATTAGTATCAAGAGGGCTACCCGGGATGTCTGAGGATCAGGGTTAAAAAAAAACCCAAGATGCACAGGTGAAAAAAAACAAAGCAAAACAAGTGTAGACTTGATTGCATCATCTTGTGCCATTTTTTGGACCATAACCTGCGGGCATGCTCCCTGGGGAATTCTGGGAGTTGAAGTCCACATGACTTGAAATGGTCAAGGTTAAACCCCCAGACACACTAAATTAGACAATCCAAAATTTTTACTTGGCGTATTTGTCTTCCTGTTTGAAGGTGGGAGCGATGAAGATCGCTGGGACGAGTTGAATTTTTTGTGCCTCGGTTGCTCTTTGCTCTTCTCGGGCGAACGGCTTGTACCTAAGGATGTCTCAGTGAACCCCACAACCGGACACCGAACAAGTGTTTCTGAAATAAGCAAAGGCAGCAGAGAGGGTTTTCCTTCCGGAAGGTATCTGGGCCCTTTTTCCTACCGTGGGGAAACGCTGAAAGCAATTTTCATTATCTATCCCTATGGGATGTACGTAGAGACACATGGTGAAGGTAACAACACCCCCCAAAATATTGAAAGAAGTGAAATGAAATTGTGGACCCGCTGAATATTAGCCGCAATGTGTCTCCAATGCCTGCATATCTTATTTAAAAAGCCTTGTGCTCTACATCAGAGGTCCCCAACCTTTTGGGTACCAGGGACAGGTTATGTGGAGAGAGTTTCTTCTGCGGACTGGAGGGAGCGTGGTTTTGTGTGCTGCCCACATCCCGTGGCTGGGGCTTTGCTTGTTTGTGTGGCCCGGTTGCTGGCATGCCGCGGCCCGGGACCCCTGCTCTACATAGAGTTATCTTTTCATCTAAATCCAAGCCGGCACAATTTTCCCATAGAGGAAATATTTTTTATTTCTTTAGGAACAATTCTAATAAACTAATAAAAATTGACTTACTGTTGGTCTCTGCTGTGGCCTCTTCCTCTTTCTCTGCCTGGGCGCCTCGGTTCTTCAAAGCCTTCCTTTCCTCAAATTCTTTAAAGGCTTTGAGGATGGGGATTTCTTGGGTTTTGATCTCTTTCTGAATGGCTTCGTTGGTGAAGAGACCATTTGGAGAGGGATCCTTCTCTGGAGGAGAGTGACGCCTAGAAATGGGCGGGAAAGCCAGGCCTGTTCATCTCACGGCTGAAAAGCTGGTCAGAGCAAGTGTTTCCTTTTCCCAGATTCAAACCAGATTACATTATTGGAAGGTAACCCTCACAGTAACCTATGGGAGGTTAGGGTTTTGTGTTTTTTTTTTTTTTTTTTGGCAGTCCAATTAACTTAGTCTAGAATGTATTCTTTGTAGACAGGAAGTAAAAGCCCCTGGGAAAGCATTTCAACATTTGCCCAGACCAGCCAGGTTGTAATATGACAGCAAAGATTTTTATTCCATGACATATTTTTACTCCATGTTAAGACCTTCAAGCTATTAATTCTGAAAAGAGAACAGTTTTTATGCCAATTATTTTCATCTGGGGAACCAACGGAGGAGCTGGCCGCTGGATCTGACGAAAGCCAGGAAGAATGGAAATTGTGGAATAGACTTGAACGAACAGGGCTATCCGCTGGCTTCTGCTCTTTGGGATTGTGGTGACATGCAGACAACCACACAGATGCATACCTGCCCTTTGTGCCCCGATCAGTGTACACTTGAGGACCTCATGGCAGCACGACAGAATGCAATGAATGTTGCTAGTTTATGGGCAAGATCTGTTCCATCTGTACGTATCTGAATCTTGTCTTTTACATTTTAAATTTTATGTCATCTAGTACCCCTCAATTCAATTGTGAGGCCTCTGGTTATGAATATACAAGCATCTGGGAGAAAAAAAATATTGCTCACCGAAGAGAGGTGAACTCTTTTTCAAGCCGGTTGTTGTTGGGACTTTCTTCAGCTGCCAAAGGCTGGCCGGTAAAGATTGAAAATTCGGATCCTGGGATCAGCCACTTCCTTCTGCTCACATCAAAGCTTTCTAATTTGCTGAGAGGACAGAGAGAAGCAAGGAATAACGAAGAACTAAAGCGGAGGATGTAACATTTCGTGCTTTCAAATTAAAAAGCAGACTTTATTAGGCGCTATTTTCAGGATCTGGCAAAGCAGTACAGGCAGTCCTTGACTTACAACCAAAACTCAGCCCAAAATTTTGGTTGCTAAGCGAGACAGTTAAGGCAGTTTCCCCCATTATACGACCTTCTGAAGAACAGTGGTTATTCACACTGTGTGACCCCATGATCCTTTTTCATCCTTCTTAAAATTACAGTAGCCTTTGTGTGTGTGTGTGTGTGTGTGTGTGTGTGGCTTTCTCACCCTGACACAATCCTTACTTGCTAACCTGGCGTAGGATGGTCCAAAGTGTCCCTCGGCAAGGGAACGAAATTTGAGCGAGTTTTCATGTTCTAATTGCTTGACCTGAGTTTCAAGTTTCGAGACTGTTCTAGAGGAGATAAAGAAGAAAGAACAATTTTACCCGTGTTAATGCTGCGTATGTCCCCAGTTTTTGCGGCTAGAATAGACGGCTCATTTTCTAAAAGCTGTGGGGAAACCTCAGGACTGGGTTGGATCATGTTTCCCTATTTGGCGACCAAGATCTAAAGCTCGACAGTTCTGGAAAATAACAGAATAACACAGTTGGAAGGGACCTTGGAGGTCTTCTAGTCCAACCCCCTGCTCAGGCAGGAAATGGTATACATTGGAATGAAACAAAGGTTCAAAGTTGAATGTCTTTTTCAACTTGCAATCTTTTTTTTATTAAAAAAATTTTTTTTATTTTATTTAAAGGTCTATTCCCAGAGTTTTAGGGACTAGCTCTTTGCTAGATTTGATTCAGCAACTTCGCTGGTCACTGCCTGGTTAACATATTGATGAAATATGCTAATAAATATGCTATTAAAAATAGAAACATTGGAGAGGCTTTGGAACTTTTCTTGCTTTTCTAGGATTGAAGGGTTCAATATTACCTCTTCAAATCAGAAATCTGAGTGTGCGCATCCAGTAATTTGTTCTCAGTAATATTCAAAGAATCCTGTGGGAGAGAGAAAAAAAAATTAAGGGTAACGCAACCACTGATTTTACTAACACCAAATGATTTAAGTGTTTCTCTTTCATCAGCTGATCATTAATTCAACTTGTCTTCAGCTTCCCTGGGGAAAAAAAAAGCTTTTCTACTGCTTCTCTTCATTTGTCCTTGGCAAATAATTAATTGTATATTCAGAACCCATCAGGGGGGTTTCATTCTCCAGCCACGGCTGGTTAACCTCATGCCTTTCTTGAGGTGGATGTCGCACTATCTGCTTGAACAGTTTTCTGTTTCCAAGTTCCCTTGTTTCTAAATTCTTTTGGCAGAGGTCCACTTAGCTGGCTGCTGTCCACTGTTTCAGATACAGGACAGCCTGAGTGATAAATGTACAGAAGATGTGACATGTGACAAATTCAGCTGACAGCACTGGACTTTTCATCCCTCCTAAGGACAAACACTTTGTGGACAAAAAGCTTATTTCTGGGGGAAATAAATACACCTGCTTTTACTCACGATCAAGGAACCGCTAAAGCCCATTTGGTTTTGGATCCCCTTCACTTAAAATTGGACTCAGTTCTGAAAAAAAAAGAAAACCCTGCTGCTTACCTTAACCCGTTCATGCTCCTTCCCAAGCGATTCGTATTCTCCCAAAAGCTATCAAGAAAGTAACATTTTATTATTGATTCGTAAGATTTCAAACCGTCTAGATAGAATAAAAAATCTAACTGGCACAAATCACAGTATCCGATACAGCCATCAAATCAGGATTTTGGCAAATGCTACCTTTTATGATTGTGACTTATTTCTAGTTGGCATTTAAGAAAAAAAATCCTTCAGTCTTATTATCGGTCCCTTAGCACAGAGTGTAAGTTAAGAAGCAGCTATTTAATAAGGGGGGGGGGGGAAAACTGAAATGAATTTGAACTAGCAGGAAGAGCAAAGACCTGTTTTATCCATGGGTGAAAAGTCTCTACTCAGCTATCTCCAGTTTAACAGGATAACTCCACAATTATTCTTAAGGTCAAAATGTCCTGTTTTAATCTCTTTTTTTAAAAAAGAGAATTTTCACGCAAAGACACAGGCCTTTTGTTCATAGATAGCCAAATGATCAACAGTGCTACTGTGGCTTTCTGTGGCTATAGAAAAACCACACCAACTGAAGACTTGGTCCGTGACAATTTTGAGGAACTTCTTGACAATTCGCAACACACATTCCAAACTATGCGAGGCTGGTGTTCCCCAACTTACATTTTGAAACATCTTATTCTCTTCCTTTAACCGGGCATCCTTGTTATCGGAGAGCTTGTAGGCTTTCTCAAAGGCCTCTTCCAGATCTTTGAGCCTTCTCTTGAGGCGAGTGATGGTGTTGTCTTTGTCCTTGCTACTCGTGCGCATTTGTTCGATGCGCTCCTGCAAGGACTTGGTGCTGTTGCTGATGGCACTGAAGCGCTCACACCAATCTGTCTGGAAGGTGAACAGGCCGAGAGTTGGAAGCGACCTTGGAGGTCTGCTAGTCCAACCCCCTGCTCAGGCAGGAGACCCTGTACCATTTCAGACCAATGGCTGTCCAGTCTCTTCCTAAAAAACCTCAGTGATGGAGGACCCACAGCTTCCGGAGGCAAGCTGCTTCATGACTACATCGAGACTGTAAGCAGGACAAACCGTCACATCGGAGAGAACAACATGCAGATTTCACAGCCTGTTTTTCACTGGGGTCACACCAAAGTGGAACAAATTCTTCTTCATTTTATGAAGTTCCATAAATTTAGCAGCAATAAAGTTCCTCAACCTTAGCGACTTTTAAGAAGGGTGAACTTCAACTCCCAGAATTCTGGCTGGCTGGGGAATTCTGGGAGTTAGAAGTCCACATATATGAAAGTTGTTAAGGTTGAGGAATTCTATAAAACGAAGAAGAATTTGATCTACTTGAGTGTGACTCAGCCCGAGAAAATCTCGTATTCTCCTAGGCTGCGCACTCCTGGGAACACAACACAAGACTTCGGGGTGTACTTCCCAGGCTTCTGTTCCCAGATACCAAGCCACCCCATTCACAGAAAATTGTTCTTCCTCTTCTCCCCAAATGTGGGAGTCCTCGGTGCCCTTGACCAAGACATGACCATATTTTGGCCCTCTCAGTCTTCCTTCCCACCCTCCCTTCCCTGCCATTTCACGACCATAAAGAGATGTCCGAAATGATGCCCAGCACATTTTTAAAAAAATGTTTTTTCATTATAGCTGGACTACTCCATCCAAGCCATAAGAGGCACTTACTACTTCCATCTCTAAGGCCTTGTTTTTATTTTCGAGGGATCGCACACGGCTGTTGGCTTCGTGCAGAGCAGTTTCTAGCTGGTCACACCTAAAAATTCAAATAGAGAGCCATTAAGTATAAAAAATATATGGTATTATTCATACTTTTAGGCGAACTGCTTCGCTGGATCGATGGCCAGAGGCCAACGCTTGCTAGGAAGTCTTGACCGTAGATAAGCAACCCTCATTTCCAAAAATGTGTTACAAGTAATCCTCGACTTATAACCAATCATTTAGTGACTGTTTTGAAGTCACAAGATCCCTGAAAAAAAGGGACTTGTGACAGTTACATGGTCACTTGATCAAAATTCAGACGCTTGGCAACTGTCATAAATATGAATCAGCTGCCAAGCCTCTGAATTTTGATCTGCAACTGTCAGGAATCACTTTTTAAAATAAACACGATGGTTGCAGGGTCCCGGGGTCATGTGACCCCTTTTTGCGACTTTGTTGACAATTCAACTGTAGCCATTTACTTAACAACTGTGGCAAGAAAGGCTGTAAAATGGGGCAAAACTCACTTAACAAATGTCCCACTTTGTCGTGGTCGTAAGTCAAGGATTACCTCTATTTTTCTGCTTAAAGAACTCTTCCCTGCTCACAAGTGAACCAGTGAGTTACTACGGGGGGAATTCGCAGAGCAACTAGAAATCTATTTGAAGTACAGTGGCCCTTTCTGTTTTGCTCATAACCTATTAAAACAAATAACACAAAGAGATTCCCTAAACGGGCACTTGATTTTCAGCTGTCAAAACTGGAGCCAGGAAGGTTCAGAAACAGTTTTATCCAGGCAGAATCACTTCAAAAATGATGAAAAAAAAAAAAAAAAGATACGGACGTTATTCCAAGCAACTCAGCCAATACCTGTCCATAAGATTTTGATTGATTTTCTTCATTTCTTCAGAAGGAGAGGTATGGCTTGCTTCTAACTGCTGCTTTAAACTGAGAATTTCGGACTCGTAATACGCTCGGAGATCAGCTATGTGCCGGATGTGTTTTTCCCTCAAATTCTGCCTAATCCTGATTTAAAAAAAAAAAAAAAACATTTAAAAGCTTAGCAACCTTGCTGGACACTGTTTCTGAAGAAGAAAACTGGGATTCTCTTACTTGGAGAGGACCAGGGGATCTTCTACGCAAGCAAGCGAAAGTTCGTGCTGCGTCAAAGGATTCTCAGCAGACGGAATTGGGTGCCGGGCCACTGAAGACGGCGTGAGGGTTAAGTTCTCGTCCTCCATGTCTAAAATCTCGTCATTTGGATGATGAGAGCCGGTGACATCGGCTGTGTTCTGAAACTCACAGCTGCCCCAGGAATCTGCGTGCAAGGCTGCCGAGCAAGAGGCGTATCGGGGAGACTCGGTGGAGCGAGGGGATACCACAGTGCTCGTGTGGGAAAACGAATCCACCTCCGAAGGAAGGGAAAAAGCCACAGGATCTGCCATGGAATCTGGAGACAAGGGAGCTTGTTCTGGGCTGGCGTAGAACCTGGGCAGACGCCGTTCCGTGTTCAGCTCGCCTGGTTTCATGTGGAGCGTTGGGTCGAGGGTCAGGATCTGCGAAACAAACGTCGCGGTGCTTGGAGTGAAAAAAACAAACAAACCAAGACCCAATTAAGGGCAAATTAGTTGCTTCGAGATGATTGTGGTGTGAGAGGAGATGCTTGAGGGTGCCTTGGACAGTAAGAAGATCCAATCAGTCAATCCTCAAGGAAACCAATCCTGTCCTTTGGAAGGATAGAGACGGAAGCTGAGAGAGAAGAATCGTAATAGGAGAACAAACCCATTAAGACAAGATTCAGCAGTCCATCTGCATTTAAAGGACAAAGGTCACTCTCTGGAAGTCCACATTCTGGACAGAGAGGACCCTGATTTGAAAGAGGGGTCAAAGAGGCCATCTAGGTCAAAACTGAACAGCCTTCTCTCAACAGAGGGGGAGGGATACAACACTACCTATCCCCTATTTACAACACAGTCCCTTTAGCAGTTCCAAGAAGGTTCCACGCCGATTTGCACTGTTCAGGTTGACCCTGAGAACACAGATAAGTCTCAAGTGGCCTCAAGGACTCTCAAAAAGAGCACTAATGACCAGATGACTGCAAGGAATATAAACCCTTCCATTCCCCACCATTCAGTCAGAACTGAACAAGCTTCAGTCCAGTCCAAGAAAGTCCAGTTGCCTCTTGAAAAAGCACCTTTGGGACAATGAGCTAACAGACTAATCACAATTAAGGAACCTGAGAGAGTCAAACTGTTTGGGGGTCTGGAAAAGCATGACCAGTTGTTAAGTGTAAGAAAGGAGGGACATTTTCAAGGCAACAGGCAGAACTAAAATACAAGTTATTACCTCTGGGGGATGAGTTGAGTGCAGGGGGGTGAAATTCCACTCTACAAGTGGCTTATCTTCCTTCTGTTTCTTATGATAAATATCCTTTAAGGATATAGGCTTCAGCTCGTTACTGGAAGACAGCTAAGGGGAAAAAAATCAAATTGAGAGTTTAAGCATTTATTTAATATAATGATGAACCATATTTTTTAGATGGGAAGATAGAGTCTTTTGGCAAGAGGGGCAAATAGGATAATTCCAGGAACAGGACACCAGTCACTATAAGGCAGTATTTCTCTACCTCAGCAACTTTAAGATGGGTGAACTTCAACTCCCAGAATTCCACAGCTGGCTGGGGAAGTCTGGGAGTTGAAGTCCACCCATCTTAAAGTTGCCAAGGTAGAGAAACACGGCTATATGGCAAAAGTAGAGCTTGGAACACTTAGCAGCTTAATGCCATAAGGGGAGAGCAGAATTGTTGTCACACATTAAGCACACACGTTGTCACCCTTCATGCGTTAAATAATGAGCAAACAGCACCAGCCAATAGAGGGAGGAGAGACCAAAAAAAAAAAAAACATTCAGCAAAACGAAAAAAAAAAAATAAAAGTTAGCAAATACCTCTTCTGAAGAAGCTTTTGTTGAGAAGGTAAGGAATTCATTTCCCAAATTCTTAGGCAATGCTCGGTACATCTCCTTCTCGTCTAATTTCCAATAGGTCAGCCCTGTAGTACAAAATAGGCATCTCAGAACTGATTTAAGGATAGCAAAAAGCTGGGATATCATTTTAAAAGAAAAAATATAGTGAGGTAAAGTTTGGTTCTTTAGGGAAGACGTGTGGCTGAAACACTAGTTTAACACCCGCAGGGCCTGACAAGCAATAAAAGTAAAGAGAGCGTGTTAATTCTGCAGAGAGCTCTGAGGGGATCAGTGCCAACGAAAGAACATTTGTCCTTTACAATATTTCAACCTGGAAGGTGGTTCTTTCCCTGAGACTCCCTCCCTCCTTCCTTCTGGCTAAAAGAGTCTTCCCTGTATCCTGATTCAAACAGAATAAATCCGATTAAAGCCTCGGTTTTAATCAGTTGCATCAGAATCTCTGCTCATCGGAAGTAAGAAGGTCAAAGCTAAACAAAGAAATATAGGTAGTCCTTGACTTACAGTCATTCATGTGTTCAAAGCACAATGGCACTGGAAAAAGGACCTTTTTTTTTACATTTACATTTACCGTGATGACATCAAAATTCAGCCACCTGGCAGCTGGTTCACATTTATGATGGTCGCAGCGTCCTGGGGTGTCACGTGATCCCCTTTTGCGACCTTCCGACAAGCAAAGTCAATGGGGGAAGCCAGATTCACTTAACAACCATGTGATAACTTAACAACCACCCACCAAATTGGATTCCCAACTGCAACTGCTTTGCTTACCCTTTAGCTTACACTCTGCCACTATTTCAAGAGCGAACCCTGAAAATGAGGAGAACGGCTAGCTCAGCTAGAACGATCCCCTCTTTTACAAGTGCGCCATGCTCACAGGAGGTACAGAGGAATAAATCTGGAAGCTACTGTACCTGAAGAAAGAGAGACCAAAGAATTTTGGCTTCCACTTTGCTGATTGAGGTAAAACGGAGTGGTGGATGGCACAGCAGCAGCAGCAGCAGCAACGTCATTGGTCTGTAATTCCACAGGATGGGGAAGAGAAAAACCCAGAGATTTATTGTAAAAAAAAAAACCTAAAACACAATCTCCCCAGAGTAATTTGCCCCAGCAATCTGAGAAAAGTATATTCTGTCACAGGAGTAATCCCATCAAATTCAATAGTGCCGCCCACAGTCGCTTCGAAATAAGATGAGCAAAAATCTTAATAAATAAATAAAAAGTGTAGGCTTCCGAGGCTGTAGGCTAAGCTCATCTATTATTCCCAGCTAAGCCCAAGGATGGACATTTTGGCCAGGATTGAACTAAAGGCACCAGGGTTGACATACACAGAAAGGGCTTTAAGGCCTGCCAATCTTAAGTAGGATCATTACATGCCGCAAGGCAAACTCTCCCTCTGAATGTAAAAACATCAAATAAAGGAGAAATTCTTATTTAAAAAAGCAAAGGGAGGGTTGAAAATACTGCCTTGGGGCAGGGGTCTCCAATCTTGGCAACTTTTAAGGCTTGTGGATATCAACTCCCAGAATTCCTCAGTCAGCCACGATGCCTGGGGATTTCTGGGAGTTGAAGTCCACGAATCTTAAAGTTGCCAAGTTAACTGGGCAGGGCAATCCTGTAACACCAACGTGCTCGTCAAAATCCACACAGCTTAAAATTGTGGTCCGTGTTCATTCACGACTGCTGCCTTGTTGGGAAGAAAAGATTTCAGCAACTCTTTTACCCTGTCAATGGTTTGCTTTGTTCCCGGTGGGGTCTCCTCTTCCACGGTTGTTTTTTTCACCTGGTTTTGTTTCATCTTTTGAGCCCAAGAGGTTAAAGATTTGCTGCAGAAAAAGAAAACCGAGACACGGTGAATGAAAATAATTGCTTGAGCGCCGCAATTTATACCTTTCTGCAGATGGCAACAGTATAAACAGGAGCTCCGGCCTCCTCTGTAAAACCACAATGGACCTCTCAGAGCAGGATCTCAAGCTTGGCAACTTGAAGATGGGTGGACTTCAACTTCCAGGATTCCCCAGTCAGCATTCTGGGAATTCAAATCCAACCTGTCTTAAGCATGCCTGGCTGGGGAACTGTGGGAGAGGAAGTCCACCCGTCTTGAAGGTTCTAAGATTGAGAAACACTACACTAGAATAAAGAGGCAAGTTTCAAAGCTGGTAACTGATCCTCTAAATTTAAAGATGAAGCTAACGAACTGAACAGTATCAGCCACTCACCAACTTGCTTCCTCAGGGTGACCTTCGTGAATCGGATGCTCCAGCTGAGTGGGGAAATCGCCATCGTTCCCCTTCAGAGGTGGAGAATGTCCTGTTGCGGTTTGCAAACATTCTCTTTTGTCCTGAATGCTGCCCACAACTGCATCCTCCAGGGCTGGCGCTGGACAGTTCTGCCGCTTGGTCATCGTATCCGAGTTTTCCATGCATGCCTGAAGGTCATCACATTTGCCAGGACTCAGTTCCGCAGTAGATAACGTACCATATCCGCTGCTTACTAAAACACTCTTTGTCAGGCCCTCCTGGCGCATGACGGAAGCATCTGCCTGGTTGTCAGCATGGCTGGGGTGGAACTGACTGGTAAAGAGCTCGTGTTCTTCAGAAGCGTCGGCCTTCAACCCCATCTGACCTCCTAGCAACAGGCAGCTGTCTGAAAGTCTGATGGAAGAGGCCAGTTTGGGACACGAGCACGTCTTTTTAGTTTGCAGTGTCCCCAAGCGCCTGATTTCATTTTGTATGTGCTGGAAAGAAGAAAAAAAGCCCAAACCTTTCATTAAAAACCAAGGCTTTAATCCAACAGGCAATCACGTCCGTAGGACATTTTCACATACACACACAACATGCAGAAATGTGTTATGCTACAGAAATGGAATACCTAGAAATTTGTTCTACATCTGCTTTTAAAACACATGCATGGACACATTCATGTGGCTTTTCTGAGACAGAATCAGACCTCCAACAGAGAAATATAAAGGGAAAAGAACTCTCAATCTAAGTGGCTTTAAATGAAAGAACACAATTTGTTGAGCTGGGCTGGCTTGCTTCTTCTCTCAATAAAGAATTACAAGTAGAAACTTTTCCCCATTATTTCACAACAAACTCAAGACATAAAATGAAATGCCAATCGGACACGGACAGAGCTTCAGGATTAAGCCAAAAACACTTTAGTCAATGCTCAAATTTGCAACAGGCAATGTTTCTGCATCACACAATTTTCAGAATATCACACAATATTATTTGGTAAGTAGTCTCATTTCTCCAATGCAACACGCAACCTCAGACACGTACGTACAGGTGAGTATTCTGCAGGTATGAAGTATGAAAACGTGGCCAGGAAATAAAAGAAGAAAAAAGACCAATGTACAAAAAGGGGAAAAGAGAACTGTAAAACAACAATACCTCAATTATTTGTTTCAATTTCAGGAACAGTTGGTTACTATTAGTGAAGAGGGCCATCAGGAAAGGTAAGGGAAAAACAGTTACCAAAAATGGTGTAAATATTAAAAGGCACTAAATACACACAGACCAAATGTATGAAAACATCTATATTTTCATCTATAGGAGTTGATGTTCCCAGAAAAATCAGTTAACAGTTTGGTTGAAGAGATTAACAAAGCTATTGAAGGGAATACTTTTATCGACAAAATCCATTTCCAAACAAGTGTGAAAGGACAGCCTGGGTTGACAAGAAGTGTGCATTCATACACATACACATACACACACACACACACACACACACACACTCAAATCATATGTAGCAGATAGCTTTAATATCTCAAGGCTTCACAAAGAGATGTAAACAGAGGCATACTCTACATACCTTCCTGCCAACTAAGGAGCTATTTTATGCATTTGATAAAATTATAGTAAACAGTATTCCCACCCATATCAGTTATCCCCCAACTCCCTACCAATCCCTCTCACGTTCTTGAGAGCCAGACCTTCAGTACAAAGGCACAATGTAAACTAAGTGAAACAACTTACATGTATTTGATGATAAAACAGTTTTTGCTGAGCGACTATCTGTTCTTGGCACTGCCTCTCCACCAGTCTGAACAACTGTAGCCACCTGGTCTGTGGGAAAATACAAGATTCAGCAAAGAATATAAACATTTTCTTCCTTTATGAAATGTAAATTCCATTTGCCCACATCTAGCCTGGCGATTGATTGATCCTCTGTTTGTCTAGAAGCTGTTATCTGATACCTGTATTCAGTATGAGACCTTGAAAAAAGCCCCAAAGCAGAAAGAAAACAAAAAAAACCTGAAAATCTGAATCTAGAGAATTAGAGTCCTAGCAAGGCATTTAAGAATTCAAACCTTAACACTGGGAAACAACAAATATTAATTTGTTAACTGCCTTTATATTTATCTTTTTATCTTTTGTAAGATGCCCAGAGTCACTTTTAATGGTGAGATGGGCGACATATGCATTTAATAAATAAATTAAACTAGGAAGGTGAAGTTGGGCTGCTGTTCATAATAACGGAACAACATATGTGGAAAGACTGTTACGTACCTCACAATTCTTCAGTATTTTGGGATTACTATTTCTTTGAGCAACTTGCATAAATGAAGTCAACATACTAACCTCTTCAGTTACTGCAGAAGAGTCAGCTTTGTCCAAGAAACTAGAGACGACATCTGGGTTGAATAAAGGACTGTCGAACAAATAAAAATATGAATTATTTATTTACTGAAACTCAACTGGGCTTTGTGGACAACACCTTCTTGCTCTGAAGACAATATGGAACCCTGGAAAATCTACAGAGTTTTCCCCAAGTCTTTGGGTGGACTTTGTTAACTTAATTAAAATAAATGACTTGTCAGTAATAAGCAGGTTTTTGGACAAGTTTAGGCAAGATTGTGCTAAAATTCTATTTGAAAAATTGGACTCTGAAAATACTATAGACTTTAAGAAGCGTGATACTGATTAAATTTCCTACTGACCTGTTGTTACTTTTGTTATGATCAAGCGAGTTGTGAGTATTCTTAGAATCCGCTCTTGGTACTTCTTGCTCTGGATTCACCAATCCCAGGTTTTCCATATCTCATGCTTGCAGAGATTGTGATTATCCTTAAAAAATTAAAATGTGTTTAAAATCTGTACAAAACAGATTCATTGCTTGGTCTGATCTAACCATTGCACCACTGGGTCCAACCAATATTTAGAAACATTTATTTCTTTATTAACACATATATTCAGTGTAGTTCTTGGGTAACGGAAAGCCATTCTACCTGCCTTATATATCCACAACATTCCAGGCAAATGTTCTTTTACTGCTGCTGTTTCATCCAGGTAGCTAAATCCAAAATAAACTCTGCAATATGAATAAAGAAAAGACAGCTGTGAAGCACTCCTTTATGAAGAAAAAAAGTTATCCATTTCTTGGTACATCATATGCCTGACCTATTTCTTCCCAACCACAGTTCTGTGTACATGAATTATTTGTAGAAAGGCCTTAATTTATTCATGCAGTATTCTTCAAATTTTATCCTCCAAAACAGATTGAATGTGTCCTTTTTAAAATGCAATTAAATGTAGGCACAATTTTAATTAAACACAAATTTAGCTAAGTAATATATAAAATATACATATATATGCACACATATACAGATATACACACACACACATATATATATATACACACATAGACATGCATATACATATATACACAAACATAGACATACACACATATACACTAAATTTCCCCCCTTTTTTAACTCAAAAGGTTTATAAGTGCATAATCAAACAGAGTCAGGGCCAGCTGTACATAAGAGATAAACATTTGCCAAGTCAGTTTGAAATATAAATGGAGGCTGGGAAGACACATATTCAGCTTTATATATTATATTTCTTCCCCCAGACTTGGGTGGGAGGGTGTTCTCTATTTTGTATATTTATTATTTAGGTCTGTTTCCCCTATTACAGACAACTTTTTAAAATCTGCTTTTTAATTCTCAAATATAGGCCTAGCAACATATACCGGTAACTCAAAATACATTAAACAGTAGATGTTATTTATTCTCTTTTGATGAAATGGTGAGGAACTTGCTCTCTTTGCCAATAAAGAGAAAATTGCAACTGATCCTGTGCAAAACAATTTCCTGAATTTTTAATCCATCTGGGAAATGACCCCACCCCACAAAGTTGATCCACTGCTACCTCATTTTTCTTTTTTATCCACATTTCCAGTCGAAATAAAGATTTATTTATCCTATTTTTAATATTTAGATTTATCTATCCAGCTCCTGTATCCTCTCAAATTAAAACGAACAAACACAAAATCAATAAGAATAACCACCACAAACAACATCTGCCTACCACAGAAGCTGGATAAAGACTTGACAGGTTGATAAAAATGGCAAATCCAACATAAACAACCGGCTGGCAGTGCAAAGACCCATTATAACACTATTAAATTTACATCCAGAAAGAACCCCGGCAACTCTTGTGCTCCTTTAGACCTTCTCAAGAACCCTGTGAGGTAGGCCAACCTGGCACCCCGCACTTATTTACTGGCTTCGAGCCCGACCTTTCAACGAGCCCCACCCCTCACCCCTTATTGGCCGAGGCTATAGTGTAAACATCCAGAGTGGCCGGGGGTTGGATGATCCGCCCGTCACTCGAGAAGCGGGGGCGTGCCGGGAGGGGGAAACGAGGTCGCCCCTCCCTCCCGTCAGAGGCAGCCGTCCCCGGTCCTCGCGAGGGGTTCCCGCCTCCGCAACCCTGCTTACCTCCCCGTCCGCCCCGCGACCTTCCGCGCCGCACCCGGCAGGCGAAGGCCGGGCCGCTGGGAAGAAGGCCGGGCCGCGAAATGTCCCCTCCCCTCCGCGGTTGGCGGTTGAGATTCGAAGAAGCGGTTTCAAAGAGAAGACGCCGAAGGCTCGCGACGCGGCTGCGCCGATTGGCTATCTCCCCAGCCGCCGCGCGACGCTATTGGCCCGAGAAGCCGGGAGGTGGGAGCAGCATCGAAGACGCTATTGGCTCGTGGGAAAACTGTCTCGCTTACGTCGGCGAGTGAGGAACGAGACGGGCCTTCAGAGGAGCCGCTCTAGGATTGGCTCTTTCGGGGCTCAGGGTGAGGGAGGGACGCATGCGCAGCAGGGTCGGGACTGAGGCCTAGTCGTAGTTAAGTTACCCCGAAGGTAAGTTTGGGTGCCCTCCGCAGTGAGAGCTTGGCCGTCCCGAGAAAAGTATCTCCCTACCCGGCGCTCCCTTCCCTCCGATCTAGAATCCAATCGTGTCCATTTCCCACTTTCCCTTCGACCTTATCTCGCAATCCCAAGGCCACAACAACCCTACAAGGTAGGCCAGGCGGAGCGAATGAACCCCCAAACCAGCCGGTGGGTGGGAGGGAGAGAGAGACTAAGGATTTGAACCCACATTTCTCCACTTCTAACCCAGCATTACAGCGGGCCTGCTCTGATTTGTAACTGGAGAGAAGAGAGAGACACGCACACACCCCAAAAGGAGGGGGCTACCCTGCACAGCCCAGATCCAGAAGGGGAAAAAATGAAGAGCATCAGAAGCCTGATCTGAACTGCAGATCTGCCAGCGGGTGTCGTGTGAAGGCAACCGAAGCAAACACAAGGGTTTGCCAACCCAGCTACTACAGGTAGTCCTCGACTTACAACAGTTTATTTAGTGACCAGTCAGAGTTACGATGGCCCAGGAAAAAATGACTTATGACCGTTTTTCACACTTACAACCGTTGCAGCATCCCTATGGTCACGTGATCAAAATTCAGACACTTGGCAACTGGTTCATACTTATGACGGTTGCAGCATCCCGGGATCACGTGATCCCCTTTTACGACCTTCCCACAAGCAAAGTCAGTATGGAAGCCAGATTCTCTTAACAGTTGTGGAAAGAAAGGCCGCAAAATGGGGCAAAACTCACTTAACAACTGTTCCGTTTAGCCATAAGTTTTGGGCTTAATTGTGGTCGTATGTTGAGGACTATCTGTACTTTGCATGTCATCCTGGCAACTAGCAGTGCTGCTTTCCCATAATACGCAGAGCCCATGACCGTGAACAATGTTCTACTTTTTCAACATATTTCAACATACAGATACTGGATCGTCCTTTCCATAATATTGATAAAAGAATGACAGGCCCCGTTTACATGTTGCAGTCTGTTCTGCCATTTAGATAAACATACAGAGAGAGTTTGCAAGGGGAAAAGGTAAGGACACCCCTAGTTTATCACGGCTTCCCAGACTTAAAATTGGAATTGTGATCAAATGATTGGAATATTGTCCAAGAAGATCTACTTGTCTTATTGAAACCTCTGTCAGGGTTTCAAGCCAAGGCCGTACTTACTTTTTCCACAGAAGGAAATGGCATATCCGTTAATTTGGGGTTGGTTCAATGATTGAAAGTCCATGTTTATAGTCTGTTTTAGTCCTTTACCTCCTGTTTGAATGAAGATCAAGTTCTGATCTGACCCTATGTGCTAAAAAAATTTTTTTTATGGGATGCCCTTGCTTATTCCCATGACTGTACTTCTGCTTTTAAAAAAACAGGGTCTAAAGAAGAAAAAATACATTTACTTCTTACCATGATGGATCGGTGGCCAGGCTGTGTTTACTTTGGTAGTTGGTTGTGATGCAGTGGTCCCAGCTGGTTCTGCAGTGATGCAGCCTTTTTCACCCCATCTCATTTATTCCCTTGGCAACTGAGGTGGCAAGCATCGCATTGTGACTTCACTGCAGAGGGTGGGAGATGAGAAATGAAGACATTGTCTTGAAAACTGCTTTTCATATCTTTATCGTCAGTGCTTGTTGGTCCATTCCCCCCCCCCTACATCCATGAATCTTCTGAAAAAATTATGCCACTGGAGCGACAGACTATAATAGCTGGCAAAATGGACAATTCAGTACCAGTGTTGGAGGAGATGCCGAATTGGAAATGTTTTGATAATGTAGCATGTCAGGAACAACCTATTCTCAGGGGCTGGAGCTTCAGCAACGTAATCAAACAGCTTTTTAAAAAGGATTTCTTTTCAGTCAAGACAAAGTTAAGTCGTGGCTTTCAAAGAAGGTACTAAAATCTTAAAACTTGGTTTTGAATCAAATTTTGTTTCAGAGTCCATTACAGCCATATTGCTTATGGTGGTGTATTTTTGTGTGTGTCTTTTAAAGTGCTGACTCAAAAGGTTTTCTGGTTCTGAATTTTAAAAAGCAGATTTCTCTCTTAGAGCCTTAGAGCCACTAGGGTAGGTTTGGGCAGCTTCTTGGAATCCAGTCAGTTGATCATCTTAGAGCCATTAATTTGCACTAAGAATAGGAAGAGGAGAAAAAAAGCTGCGGAAAGAAAGCAATGAGCTCACCTGCTTCCCTTCCCTGCAGCGTGAGTTTGTCCCTTCCTGCTGAGCTGCACACCTGGTGTATTATTTATCAGAGAAGGCTTGAGAAGAGCATGTGCAAAAATAGAAACGGGACAGACGGAAGGTAGGTGTCAGCAAATTCTGCTGGATTGCAGCCAAAAGGACTTTTGTGCAGGGAGACCAAGGTGCATTTGGGCAGCCATTAAGAGGAGCCAGATACGATGTATTACATGGGGAACTTTCTTAGAAGTAGATGTGGTTAAATCACACCAGACATTATAATCTTTTTTATAGCTGTAGATCCACCCTTTCTACGATGCAAATTCTGCAGTTAACCAGACATTCGGCTTGCACAAAGCTGCTCAAGGCAAATGCAAGTTTGGCTTGTTTCTTCAACCCAACCATTAAACCTGCTGCATGTTATGCTTTGTTAACTCAACCAAAGTTCTGGGTTGTTGTTTTTTTCCCTCTCCCCTAGTTGAGTCTTCCTGTTTCTCTCTTGCAGCTAGAAAAGTCTCCTCCGGTTCGATTAGATGCCTCCCTCAAATTTATTACGCTTCACTGTATCTTTGATCCAACGGAGAACCTTCCCTTGGACACCAAGGCTTGGAGACGAACATCTCTTGCTGCGCCAGTGCCTTGGACCGTACGTCCTTGAAGCAGGGAAGAAGAGCTGCAGCGAGCTGCTTCCTCTGAACGAAGCTGACTTGGAAGAACAGTTCGTCCGGGGCTTCGGGCCCGGAGGCCAAGCCACAAACAAAACCAACAACTGCGTGATTCTGAAGCATCTTCCTTCGGGGATTGTCGTCAAGGTGAAGGCACTGACAGTTCTACTTAATTTCCTGGCAGGGATCCCTTATTTTATCCAAACTTGCTCTGTTCCTTGCCAGGCATGACCTGGAAGTTATTTAAGGATCGGAAATGGGGGTGGTGGTAGATCCTGAACACTTACAGCGAGTAAAAGCCTGGTCCAGGTGATTAGAGGAGAACCTTTCCTGTTGTAAGCACGCCTGTGATGGGACGTGGAGTAAATTTAGGTCTGCGTTTGACCAGGAAAACTTAAGAGTTCAATCTGCAAGTATTGTGGTTGTATTGAAACTAGTTGGGCAGTGTTTCTCAATCTTGGCTGCTTGAAGATGGGTGGACCTCAACTCCCAGAATTCTCCAGCCAGCAAGGGAATTCTGGGAACGGAAGTCTGCCCGTTTTTAAGTTGCCACGGTTAAGAAACCCTGCTCTAGATGAAAGCATTTTTCAGCTAGTGGCAGTATGCTGGCTGAAGAATTCTGGGAGTTGAAGTCCACGAGTCATAAAAGGGCCAAGTGTGAAGAGCCCTGTATTAGCGTTTAGGGATGTCTTTGGCAGCTTTTACCAGCCTGTCAAGTCTCTTCCGTACTATTTTTCCCCATTTTTCACTGCTGAATGTCACTGCCAACACTTTTCTCAAGTAACACCTCTCCAAAGGTTAGGAGTTCTGGACGAGGCATCCTGCGTCCATTAATTCCAGATCCTCCTCCTCCTTCTTCCCTAGTGTCATCAGACCCGGTCCCTCGAGACCAACCGGTCAAAAGCCAGAGAGATCCTTCAGGAGAAAGTGGACGTTTTCTACAAGGGCGACTCCAGCGCTGTGCTCCAGGCGAAACGGGAGTTGCACAAAAAAAAGGAAGAGAAGAAACGAGAAGCCAAGAAAAACCTGGAAAGGAAGCGGCACTTGAAAGAAATGCAGGCCCTGGAAGACAAATAGGAACAGAAAAGTCTCGGCTATCATTGTTTAAAATACGGGATCTACTCTAACCAATGTACATTTCTGATTTTTAAAAAACTGTGATTCAGCAAAAAACAATACAGTACAATCGATGCTTGAATTATTAGCATGGTGGCGTCATTTCCCCCCCCCCATTTCACTAAGGGCAGGAGAGATCCCTGTAGAGGGAGGGGGGAAGAGCTTCACATAATTTATTTCTTCTCCTTGCATATTCTTTTCCGGAATTTTAAAAGAACAAATTACAACTTGTTGGTAGCGTGCAAAGTTGCTGTAGCATTTTGGTTGCCACGATGTTAAATCCAGTTATCCAAGTTGATGCATTCAGTCTGTATAAAAGCAACGAGCAAAGCGTAGGCATCACATAGTTACATCATAAAAAGATGAATTGCTTTTCTGGATTCCATCAATGATTCTGAATACATTTGCTTTCCTTTTCTTGATCTTTTCTATCTCCTCTATTCGTCCTCTTGTAATAATTTTAATTATTTGTTCAGCCCCCCCCCCGGGGGGGACTTTAGAGCACACGACTCTCCAGTATTTAACCACAGAAATTACTGAAAATAAGCTTTATTACGTCAAGTAATAAATACATACAAAGAGGCAAGGTTGCAGTTTAAATCCAGGGAAGGGGGAATTGTTAGTATGAGGCTGAATTGGCTGTTTTCGGCTTGTGGAAAACTCATGCAAAGAAAGGGACATTTTGGAGGATGCCATTTATGGTTTGAGATGATTATGGTGTTTGAAGGGCAGATGGCAGGGAATTTTATAACTCCCCCGGCTTAAAAACAATTCCTGAAATGGTTGGGCTGAGAGGCAAGTTAATTTGGGGTGATTAAGGCAATTTCTTTTTCCCAAAGAGGCTAACCCTGCACATCCTAAATATTTACCTTGATGCATTGTAAAGAATTCTGGTTTTTTGTTTCGTTTCATGGATGCCCACAGCTCATCCACACAATGGCATGGTTCTGTCCTCCCAGGCACGCAAAACTATTTGATGCATTGTATAGAAAAACGTCAGTAACGCAGGGGGATTTCTAATAGGGAAATCTGTCCAGCTTTATTTCAGCGAGGGACCTCTGGAAAGCTGCCGAGGATCCCTCCACCGGCCCTGAATGCAGACTGGAAAACGATCTTAAGAAGACGCGAGTTTGGAGAGCAACCGCAGAAGTTGAGAGGAGAGGTTGGGTGCAGATGATGTCTTAAACAGGAAAGAGGCAAAGCCTGTTCCGGATTAGGAGCAGAATTTGGGTGGAGAAAGGAAAAAAAAAACCAACAATTTCCATTCATCCGAGGGGTGGCTTTGCATGGATCGATCCAGGCTGGCTGCCTGCTGGGTCAAAATTCGTTTGTGAGATGACTGAAAGAAACCTCTGAACAGGAGCAGGAATTCAACCGGACATGCAGATCCATTCTTGAAAAGGACAATATCCAAAACTAGGAAGAAGACACACCGCATTGCCAGTTTGAAGGGTGGCTCTGCATGTTTCCAGAGGGAAAGGGGGTCTCTTGGAGGCAAGGACCGAAGGGGGAGGGGGGGGGAAGCCGGATCTTAGGATCTTGCATTTCTCTCAGTCTCTGCTAAACATTCCCGTACCAGTCCTCTGGCGTGGATGATACCTGTAAAAATAAGATAAAATATGGTCTCTCTCTTTTTTTTTTTTTAGGAAAATGCCTTTTTTTCTTCAGGCGAGGAACTAACTGCCTACTGGGGAAAGAACATTACTGGGAGCCAGAATTCCAAAGTAAATCATATTTAACTGCAAAGCCTTTAGGTGCAAACTTCGCTGTAGCCTTTACAGGTAGAGTCCTCAATTTGCAACACCTTCGTTTAGTGACCGTTCAAAATTAACAACAGCCCTGAAAAAAAAGCAACTTTATGACCATTTTTTTTTACATTTAACGACCTTTGCAGCATCCCCAGGATCAGGGGATCAAAATCCAGATGCTGGGCAACTTGACTCGTACATATGACTGTGGCCGCCTCCCCGAGGTCGGGTGATTCCCCCTTTTACGACCTGGCGAGCAAAGTCAACGAGGAAGCCGGATTCGCTGAACAACTGGAGTCACGTGATTCACTTAACAACGGTGGAAAGAAAGGTCGTAAAAGGGGGCAAAACTCACTTAACAACAGAAAGGCTGGGCTCAGTTGTGTTTGTAAGTCAAGGCCTATCTGCATTCGAGCCTCCACTTTTATGGAATGAATCTATATTTGTGTAAAATAGGGCATCTGTTTGGGGGGTGATCCCTAGGAAACAGCCTGCCCTTTTGCACCTGGTCAGGGTGGGTCAGCTGAGCCCACAACGGCCTCCTTTGTGGTTCCCAGGAAATGATACTTGGATTTAATTGGTTTCGGCCTACGAGGGTGGGTGAACCCTGAAGCTTGTCACCATGGCAATGGGCGAGCTGGAAGCAACCAGACCAAGTTACTTTGTCGGTTTGTTAGAGAAACGTGGTGGGACTGACCCTTGGCTGTGTTAATTCTGGCCGATCCGCTCCAAATAGTAGCCTGGCCTCTTTCCATCCGCTCTACCCATTGCAAATCCAGAACTGGAGATTGTCAGCCTGCTTAAACACCTGCCCGTTGCTGGGGAATCACCCCGAGGACTAGAAACGGGGGCGATTTAAAAGATTGAAAGCAAGGCTGTCCCAATTTACCTCGTTTTAGCCTTTCCATGGCACTTTTACTTCCGGCATAGGTCGGTCTAATTTCTTTTCCTAATTCTTCGATGATGGTCAGCAGTTCTGCGTATTTGCTTTGAGGGACTTGATTGCTGCCAGTGATCTGCAGGCAGAAAAGAAAAAAAAAACTGAATTAAGTCACAAAGGAATCCAAAAAGGCAAGGTTTACAAATCAGCAGAACAATACAGATAGCCTCCGACTTATAACGGTCCGTTTAGCGACCGTTTCAAGTTGCAACGACCCTGAAAAAAAGGGATGACCATTTTTTACACTTAGGACCGTTATACAGCATCCCTGTGGTCAGGGGATCAAAATTCAGATGTTCGGCAACTGACTCATATTTACGACGGCTGCAGGGTCCTGGGGTCACATGACCCCCTTGCAATCTTTTAACAAGCCAATGGGGAAGCCTGATTCTCTTAACAACCGTGTTACTAACTTAATGACTGCAGTTATTTCTTCTGCTTTTGCAGAATCTCACAGCATCCTCATTAATTTCAACCATCTCCATGGCCTAAACGAAAGCAGGATGGACCACTGAACGGTCCACGTGTCCGTTAAAGTTAAAATGAAATCACAATTTTTACCTGCCCTCCTTGCGTGTAGCCCAGAGAGGGGGGTCCATAGTCATTAATCAGGTGTCGGTACTGCCCCGAGCCAGCCATGCTAGTAGAAGGGGAATGAGCTGTGGAGAGAAACAAATGCAGTGGGTGATTGGATCCCCAAAGAATGGAAAAATATAGATAAATATCCAAGAAAATGCATTGTCTATTGCTCTGTGGTTTAACAGCATGATCGACTGCTTAATAGCCACACAAAATTGCAGTCTTCAAGGGTTGTCATTTTCATCTTGAAAAAGAAAACTTTTTTTCCCCTTCTCCCCCAGCTGTGAAAGATTAAAAATTGGCTATTTTTATTCTTGTAATGCCGGTATTATTTGCAAGCTCAGGAGTCGCCGCTAGTAGGTGGGCAGCACCAGAAATCCTAAATATTCCCCCCCCCCATGCAAAACAGTAACAGGATCACGAGGGGCTTCAAAATAATCTTAATTTAGACACCCCAGTTCTACGTCTCGGCAACAGGGGATGAAACTCAGGTGCAGGAGAACATCAGGTTCCAGCATTGCAGCAAATATATACATTTCCTTCTTTTTTGATGGGTGGGTGTCCCCCAGAATATATTTACACTAAAGTTAGCCACTGAATGCATCAACTTACTTCATAAAGCCTCTGCACAGCTTGTTCAATACAGACTCATGTCCAAAATGCACCCAGGATGATTTATAGCACGTGCAAAGCGGTCCCAAAATATAAGGGAGAGGGGGAGACGTGAAACCAGGCAACTTGGCCATTAAAAAAAAAAACAAAAACGGGTCTGGCACAGCTGGCAAGCCAATGCGGGTGACAAGTGGTGCGGATCGGGGGCCAGGGCGTTGGAAAGGTTGGGGATTATGGATCCACTCCGAAGCCCAGCTTCGCCTGGCTGCCTCGTCCGGGTTGGATGAGCCCTCTACGAGCCCCCTCTCGGCCAAGAAACGGCTCCGTATCTCAAGGCTGTGCTCCCCCTTTCCAATCCCCCCCAAACCGACGATTCGGGGTCCCTTTACCTGCTCCTTGGCCCTCAAACACGTAGTAGGACATAGCCTCCGGCAGCCCAAGCCTCCTCTGCCGGCAGCAGGCCCCCAGGAACAAAAGGAGGGGGGGATCGGACTTGGCTGCGCCACCGCCCCCCCAACGCAATGCAGATGGCCGCCTTTTGCAGCCGTGCCAGCTTCGCCCAGCTGGAGGGTGAGGGTGGGTGGTGGAAGGGAAGCCACACAATGCCAGGCTGACTTGGAAATGGAAAGCCTTCGCCAAGGGATCTCCAGGGCTCATCTAGCCGAGCCCAGATGCTGGGAGGGGGAAGCATGGCAGAGAGCTGCAAAGAGGTCCGGGGCAGTGGATCAACCGATTTGGCTGCAGGGATCTCTCCCGCTTCTGGATGGGGTCCGTTCAGGAGGGCCCAGAACCAGCATAGGCTAGCCCAGTCCAGTCTGGGCTCAGAAGCCGGCTGTTTGGGAAGAAATAGGAGAATACAAAGCCCATCGGTGCCAGAGTCCCTGCCTGGCACCTGGCCGCAGGGACGGGCGATGCCAGCTCAAACATTGGATGCATTCAGCTTCAGCCTCCTTTGTCTGCCCGGCTGGCCTTGAGCCAGGGTGCCAGAGTGTGCCCCGTTCACAAAGCAGGCAGAGAAGCTACGATGGAGATGGGGGGCACTTCAATGTCCCTCTTCCCACCCTTTGAAAAACACCCTGCAGAAGGAACAATAGCCCTTTAAAAATGAGAGTAAGAATACGAATAAAAAGAATAAGAAGAATAGGAATAGAAATATAGTAGGTCCTTGGTTAGGATTTGAACTGTTAAGTTTTTACTCGTCCCAGACTGTGAATTCAGTCCCAGACTGAAGATTAAATCAATAATAATAATAATAATAATAATAGTACCGAAAAGACTGCCTAGATGCATAGAAATTTTGAACATTAGACCTGAATATCCTGATTTTGCAAAAAAAACACCCTACTCAGAACAGCCTATATACTCAGACGCTACCTTAATAGACATTTTGGTCCTCAGTAAGGACTTGAACTGTTTTTATCAGTCCCAGACAGTGAATCCAATTAAAGATTAACAATAATAATAATAATGAATAATAATAGGAAGGAATAAGAATAATAAGAAAGCAGCTCGGTTTAAATTGGAATCAACCCAAGCATTCGAAGGAAGATCCTTCTAGATTTTTTTTTCTCTTTTCCTTTTTTTTGCTTTGCATTGGGGATGATCCTCACGTCTTGGAAAGGAAGCGGACTGGATTTCAGAAGCAGCCTGAGTCATCCTTTCGATGTGGCAGATGGCTGGCTCAACCTTCCTCCCGCTTCGAAGCCCATCCAAAACGTCCGTCACACACACACACACACACACACACACACACACACACACACACATCAAAAAGGCAGGACAAAAGGGAATCTTTTGGGAGCGGGAGAACTCAGCATTCCTGGGCCAGATGTGAAGGAACAGCTGCAGACTCAGAAATCTAAGTCTCCGCTGACTTTGACTCTTTTAAAGTCCCCCAGGCTCCAGCCTTCATTTTTATTTTTAGCTGAATTTCTTCGGGGTCATCCAATTTTGTTTCCCCCAGGTGTTGAGGGTGCCTTTGAAATTCCCCACCCATAAAACACAAGGGAGCTGACTGCAAGGATCTCGAGCATCCTTGAAATCCAAAAATCTGGAATAAATCTGTCAAGAGAGCTGTTTTTTGGGGAAGATGGCCATAAGCCTGGGGGCAGAGCCACAGGCATTGATTTTCAGTAGGCCTTTGCAAGCTATTGGTCTGAAAAGGCACCGAGGATGCTGGTTTAGACATTAAGCAAGCCATTAATTGGCTTAACCATAGTTCACTGAAAAAAGATCACAGCTGGCTGGGTGCACAGAACATCCCGCTGGGTGCTGGCTGGGGAATTGTGGGAGTTGAAGTACAAACATTTTAAAGCTGCTAGGTTTGGGGGGAAAAAAACGATTTAGCCTATGTTATGAACCAAGATGCTACCCATTAACCAACTTAGCCAAACCTAAGTTAGAAACCAAACTTTAGAAGAAAACCTGAGCAATTTTAGAAAAGGATTTTTACAAGCCCTATTTTTAAACATCTCTCTCTTCAAACTCTCCCCTGCAAAGTTAACCCCTCCTAACAACCAGAGTCTTACAACAAGAAACTTTAACTCAGACTTCTTACCATTATTCAGAGACTGACTACAATACCTGTTCAATTCTTGGTATAGTCGAGAGATAGACAGAGGATATAGAGATATTGATAGATATTGACAGATAATAAATAGATAGACATACAGAAGAGAGAGAAGAGAGAAAGAGAGAAGTATGAGAGGCAGAAGAGATGAATAGATGATAGAAAGATAGAAGAGAGAGAAATAGAAAGAGGAGAGAGAGAGAAGTAAATAATACATTGACTAATGGGTAATTGATAGACTAGCTAGTTAGCTAAATCCTATTAGAACAGGGCTTCTCTAGGCATCCTGTCTCTATCTCTATATGACATAGAGTATTGGAGACAGATAAGGACTACAACACCCAGAATCCCTGCCAGGCATTGAAAGTGCAGTCCCCCAACTTATCTAGGGGAGATACCCAATACATCTTGGTTAGGATCATGGGTCAGGGGAGGAGGAGGAGGAGTTAAAGGGGGGGGGGAACAGAAAAGCGTAGTAAAAGTAAAAAGTTTTGTAGAGGGATGGGTAACATCAGGGGCGGGGACGGATGAAAGGGAAACCTTGTTAGATTCCTATGGAGAAAACTTCCCAGGCAGGATCACCACTCTCCAGCTGTTTAAAAGGGGGGGCAGCCCCCTCCTCACTCCGAAATCCCCCCCAGCCAAACCCCCTCCAGCCTCCCTTTTGGGGAGAAAGACGCCCCGCGCCCCGCTTCTGGCCTGAACAGAGCCCAGCGCCGGGTCTCTGAGCATGTGCAGAGTCGGGTTGGGGGCCGAGGGTCCCTTGCTCTGCCCGCCCCACTCCTCCTCCTCCTCCTCCTCCTCCAGCCTCTCCCTGGCCTTCCCCACCCCCCACCCTGCCTTGTGCCCGGCAGGGGCGAGGCCAGGCCAGGCCAGGCTCCCCCCGCCCTCCATCCCGATGCCGGGAGGGGGGCGGCGACCGGACCCCCCCAATATCCTCCCCCCGGCGCCCCCGCCTCGCCGGAGAAGCGGCTCTGCGCGCCATCCAAAGTTTGCAAGCGCACAAAGGCGGCGCGGGGTCCGCGGCAGCCCCCCGGCCTTCCCCGTTCTCCCTTTGGGGAGGGGTCTCCGGGCCCTGCCCCGCCTCACCTGGCCCCAGGGGCTTGAAGGACATGCGGGCGCCGGGAGGCTCCGGGGCCGGCACGCCCGGCGAGGTCCGCGCCACCTTCGCTAGCCGAGGAGGAGGAGGCTAGTGGGGGGAGAGCCGGCCCTGGGAGCCTCCGGCCCCGCCGCAGCCGCCCATCCCTCCGCTGCTCTCGCCTGCCCCGCCGCGCTCCCGGCTCGGCCATGCGGGGGGGAGGGCAGGAGGAGGAGGAGGAGGGAGGGGGCGGGGAAGAGGAGGAAGGAGGAGAGAGGAAAAGGAGGCAGGAGGGAGGGGCGGGGAAGACGAGGAAGGGAGGAGGGGGCAGGGAGGAGGAGGAGGAGGAGGAAAAGTTTCCCGGCATTTTTTCCAGGAGTGGGAGGGAAGTCTTCCTCCCCGGTTGAGAAGGGGGCTGGCAGGAGAAGGGTCTGGTGCCTGCTTTTTAGGGGGCGCATCTCGTTTCCCCTTCCGCTATGCGAAACCTTTCCTTTTCTCCTTCCTTTTCTTCTTTCTCCTCCTGCCTGGTCTGTTTCCTTCTTGAACTCCTTCACAGTGGCTTCTTTCTCCTTCCTTCCTTTTTTCTTTGTTTTTTTCCTTTTCTTCCTAATCTTTCTTGTTGCAAAGGGAAGGATACCTCTCAGTTGGGCTGCCTGGCGCCAGTTCCAAAAATGCAGAAGCAGCCAGGTTGAAAATCCCAGTCTTTGCAACTGGTGCCGGTGGTAGCGAATGCTTTGTTTTTTTCCCCCATTGATGATCTGTTTTTGTCGATTTGTGGAGGGGAATTTAGGGCATCAGTGATGGATTTCCATGTTGCTGGTGGCTTAAGGGGCCATCTCTATTTTGAACTGACATCCAAGTAACAAAGAAGAGTTGTTGAGGCTGGATTCACACATTGCTCTGTGCCTTGATATCTGAGCTTGGCTTTGTGTGTTCTGTAAAAGAGGTCCATCGAGGTATAAAAGCAAGTCTCCTTCAGGTTGATGATCTTCAGCTTGAGCTCAACCATCTAGCCTTCAAATCCTTTGGAATATCCTTGAGACAGGATGCTCGCCTCGGCCTGGGACTACAAAAACAGAACAAACACCAGGCCAGCTCCTAGGGAATGCATCTTAGGAGACCAGTATGCAGGCAGAAGCTCCTTTCCCCAAACTGGTGCCCCCAATGTGTTGGACCCAACAGTGTGGCCTGTCCACTCTCCCCGTACAGGGGAGGTCTACAAAGCCTGTGCATTCCGTCACCTAGAACACCCACATCCAATGGACCCCTCGTTTCCTGCAACGTGTGAACCCCACGGAGAGGTTTGAAGTAAGGAAAAGTTGGCTTCAAGCTACATTTTCAGCAAGCAGGATCTGCGGTCAGCAAGATGGGGGCAACTAATTCCAGGACTTGTAGCCCAGCCATCTTCAAGACGCCATGGTTGTGAAATGCCAGCCTGGACTGTTGACCAATTGGCACTGCAGGTGGCAAGGCTCAAATGTCCCTATTTCAGTTCTTTCCCCAATTCTAATTCTTCCTCTTCATTCCCACAGCTGCCCAGAGGGTTTTAACTTAGGGTGAAGACTGTGCTACCTTCTGAAATTAGTTGCCACTTGTCCCAAAGGTGCTTCCCACCCACCCCCCTAAAAAGGCAACTGGACTGTTTTTCCTTCGAAGACATTTCATCCAAGCAGCTTCTTCAGTTGAGGGTGGAGAATGGTTTACGTTCCTTGCAGCCCTGATTCTTAGCCCTCTTTCTGAGGGTCCTTGAGACCACTTGGAGGTTTATCTGTACCTTCAGGGTCACCTGAATAGAGTGAATGACGCACTCTCAGAAAGAGGCTAAGGACCAGAGGGCTGCAAGGAATGTAAATCCTTCCATCCTCCACCATTCAGTCACAACGGAAGAAGCTTCTTGGACGAGAAGCGAAATGTCTTCAAGGAAAAACCAAAGAAGTCCAGTTGCCTTTTGAGAGAGAGAAAAAAAGCACCTTTGGGACCGCCGTGACCTGGATGACTGAGAACCTCCATAAGACATTTCGTTGTCACTTTTTATCATCTCAAGTAACACTCAAATAGCGCAAAAGGTGGCATATAAATTTAGTAAAATTGTAAATGGTGTTCCTCTTGTTACACCGGCACTTCCTTCAGCTGTCGTTCTCCCAGCCAAATTCTGGATTTCTCTATTAATTGGACGAAAAGCAACTTCTCCCAAATAGCCTTTCTTTAATCAAGCAGCTCCTATTTATCTAAGAACTCCATGTCTCAGGATTCCTGGGTGGAATGCCGACATCAAGGCCCCCGGCTAATATTTGAATTGCAGATTATTTGAATCTTTGAATTGTGTATTATTATTATTATTGCTTGCTGCTGCCAGACCACGATTAATAAACATTTAATCGGGATCTCTTGGTAACAAAAAGTAGGGTGAAATTGGTCTAGTCCAGGAGGGTCCAACCTTGGCAACTTTTAAGACTCGGGGACTTCAACTCCCAGAATCCCCCTGCCGGCCATGCTGGCTGGACAATTCTGTGAGTTGGAAGCCCCCCAAGTCTAGTCCTTTAGGAGAATATAGGACTCTGAAGGGAAAAAGCCACACAGTTCTCGGACCATGTAATTTCTTTTCTTTTTATTGTGAACGTTAAGCTTTTCGTAAGCCGGCCTGGGAATCTGTGGAAGGGCTGTATATAAATAAAAGGGAAAGAAGCTAAGGCTTTCTGCATTCAAAACGGAGCAAATAAATTCCCTCGCAGCCGAACAAGGTTGACGTTCCCCAAATGTACGGATGTAATTCTCGTCACCCAAGCTGAGAATACCCCAACCCTTTTTCCCTTTGGATACGAGGAACGGATTCTAAGCGCCGCTCGTGACTGGCAACAGGCAAGCAGAGCAGACAGAAACAGCCGTGGCATCTCCAAGACAGAATTGGGAGGGGGAGGAGAGAAGGCAGATCAAGCAGAGTCTCAACGGGGACCCTCCTTCTGGGTGAAGGGCTCCAGGCCCGCCGAAGCCTCGCCTGGCAAAAACCACTCGGCGATTCTTACAATACGAGGATCCCACAGGGTCACCATCAACCAAAACACAGGACTCCGAAGCTGGTTAGAACAGTAGTTTTTCTTTCTTTCTTTTTTTTTTTTCTCTTTTCTTTTAATTTGATACCTGCAAGATCTCGGCATACCTTGCAGGGTGGGGATGGACAGGTTTATACAATCTCAAATGTTTCATAGTGCAACCTGTGCAAGCAAGAAATATGACAAACATTGTCCTTCACTTATAAACATCTACTATTATAGGCAAAACAAAAAAAAACTTACCCATATTCTTAGATAAGTGACTATTCACATTTTGTACATATACAGTTTTTAAACAGTTCCAGAATAAACTCTACAATGTCTTACAGACGTAAAACAGGGAGCATTTAAGTTATGGGGCAACAAAAAATTAAAAACAGGGAAAAAAAAAACACCACCCAGCACAGAAGCCAGAACCCTCATGATAAGCTGCCCCCTCCCCCGCATCTAGTCTACAGCTCAAGTATTTAACAACAAAAACCAACAAAAAAAATTTAAAAAGGGGGCTGCAGTGGGAATTGGAAATAAAATTTGTGTTTTAGTTTCCTGAAAAATAAAAGAAATTTTGGAGAGAGAAGAGGGGTTGGGAAGGCCCTTTTCAAAGCATTAAGAACACCATAAATCTTTTTTTTTTAAAAAAAAGGAATTTCTTTCTTAAAAAAATTGATGGTTTCATTGTACACGCACACAGATACGCAAAGCCCAAAAAGAAAAAAAGGAAAAGGGGGGGGGGATTAAGTCCCAGGGAAGATTGAAATATATAACCTGTGGAAGAACTCCAGAAAAAATACAATCACGGGGGCAGACACCATTTGAAGAGGGAAAAAAAATCAAAATCCAATCCTTGCAGCTACATTGAGGCAGTCCCTTTCTTTCGCCCGCCGCTGGCTTTCCGTGCATTGAAACATGCGTCGCCCAAAGTTGATGCCGCCTTAAACGCAGGTTACGAACATCGAGGTTTTCATGCTGCTTCTTTAAATAAAACATACTTTTTTTAATATAATTTGGGACCTCTGTTGTGGCCAATATTTATATATATATATATATATCTACACATACATATATATACAGTTTCCAAGTAGGACATCTCCCGCAGCATGGCCCCCATGTTCCTGCATTCAACCCTGAGCGCCAAAGAAGCAAATGAAGGGACAGCAGGAATAGGGACGTCTTCAAGCTTCTTCCAAATTGGACTGGGTGCACTTGTCACTTAAGTAGATGGATGTGTAGATGTGTACTAAGCAGGGGTACAAAAGCCCCGGAGAAATAAAAAAAAAAAAAAAGATGATGATGATATGACCGCCGTAAAGCAAGGCTGGGCTTTCAGTTTGACCACTCTTCCGTGCCTCTTCCGCTGAGTTTTAAGACAGCATGATGGAACTGAAAGCTAACTCTTTGGAATCTGTCCCTGATAATTCAAAGAAAAAAAAGAGGGGGGGGGAAGGAGGGGGGAACCCCAAAAGAAATAAAAACTGAAAGCGCCGACGCTTAAGGGGTGGTCGAGCCAAAATACCACATGGATCTGTCTCATGCGCTGTTGAAATTGGCGATGCTCTGCGGATGGTGCTGTTGCCATATTTGTTGCTGCTGCACAGCCAGCTGTTGCGACTGATCGGACGTCGACAGGAGGTTGACAAGGGGAGACACACAGTTTGCTGGAATGATCAAGCCTGCAACACAATTTAGGGGCTGGTGAGGTCACTGAGGTCAAGGAGCTGCACAATGAGGCTCTGCCCTGCTTCATAAACCAACATTTGTTGGTTAGGCTGCCACCTTTGGTCTGTTTTCCATCGTTTAAGATCTTAGCCCTTGTACAGGGCAGTGTTTTTGATTAAGATGGCAGCACTCCTCAGCCAGAAACTCCCACTTCTGGGAGTTGAAACCCACCCAAGCTGGCTGGGGAATTCTGGGAGTTGAAGTTTATACATCTTAAAAAGTTGTTGAGCTTCAAAAACATTGGTGTAGTTTCTCTGAAGAAAAAAAAAATAAAGATTTTGTATCATGCTTGTTTGTTTCCAATTTGCAAAAGTTGAGCAGAAAAAATGGGGGGGGACTTGGCTCAAAGGGTTTCATCATTCCCCACCCACACTCGGGGGGGGGGGGAAGTGGTAGCAAGTTCAAACACAGGAAACAGACAATGCAGGGAGACGGCTAAGATTGGGAAGGCCGAGTAAGCAAAGATATTTGTGCAGACACAAGAACGTTGGTATTGATTGCCCATACTTGCCTACAATTCTCTGGCCATCCTCCGTCCGCAACCGAACAATCTGCATTTTGACATTTGTGCCGCTCACCGAGGCCAGGACCCCTTCCACTTTTGTCCAAACGCTCAGGACAGAACCGCAGAGGACGTAATAGGTCCGGCAGCGCAAGCCAACCTCGCAGACGAGACCAAGACCTGCCTTTTTGCAGTTGCCTCTCCTGAAAGAGGAATCAACAACAAAATGATGAAGTCCACCAACCCGTAAATCCTCAGATCGAATGAGGAGAAAGCCAGGGCCACAAAGTCATTCCTTCCGTGCGGCCCTTGGTGCTCTCTGAGCTTGGTTGTTTTCTTGCAGACATTTCATGATCCAACTAGGTAGCATTATCAGTGCTAGAAGGAAGTGGGGCTTGCTCTCTGTTTAAACCTCAATCAAGAAACTACCAACTCAGTCAACCACAGGCTAATCAAGGAACCACAAAGAACACTCCCACCCACATGGAGAGGGCAACCCCCTTGTACATAAACAGAAAGTAAACCCCACTTCCTCCTAGCACTGGTATTACCTAGTTGGGTCATGAAACGTCTGCAAGAAAACCACCAAGCTCAAAGAGCACCAAGGAGCCCACAGTTCAATCCTAAGCTACAAAACTTCCATCTGGATATTTTAATTTGGTTGGCAAGTCCCACTGAAATCCATTTTTTGACAGCAGTCCCACTGTTTTGAAGACCGTCACCCCAAAACTTACCAGTAAGCATGTGTGCATGTGTCTGCCGATGAGGTGTATTGTTCGACCCAGTGAGTCACAGCGTCGTCAGAGGATACCTGGAATTATGCGCAGCAGTTATCAATAGTCAGATCTGGCTGTAAATTCATTTAGAAGCAATGCTAAACCATGATCTCAACCTCAAAGATTCGTGGATTTCAACTCCCAGCGTTCCCCAGCCAGCTGAGGAATTCTGGAGGTCGAAATCCACATAACTTAAAGTTGCTGAAGCTGAGAAATACTTGTCTAATGTTACATGTAGGAGTTGAACCTTATTAAGAGCAAGCCTTGTTTGTGTTTCAGTCGGGGCAAATTAAATCTGCAGTCAAGCAAAACAGTTACATGCGCATATGGTTGAGAAGGCAGTTTTATCAAAGTAACTCACCTTTTTATATTTTTTCTTTATTTCTGCATAGGTTTCCAGTTTCAACTGTTTTCCGGTATTTGGCCTATGGACCAGGAAAAGCTTCTTTTTGGGGTTCACCTCTTTCATGAGGATGGCAGTTTTCTTACTATTTCGTATCTGTTCAAGAAAAGGCAAGGGAAAAAAAATGAATATAGAAAGGAAAATGCAGTTTGTACCTCCCAGGAGATACTGTTGAGATCATTCCTAAATTACTCATTCAATAAACCCAGACCGAGTACAAAAGTCAAAAGTACTTTCTTGCACAAAATTTTATTGACAGTCTGCTTACTGAAGCTGCAGAAACTCAGCGGAAAAGACAAACTTTTGAGATTGGAAACCTGGATCGATTTGGTTCGTCGGGGAATTCTGGGAGTCGAAACTCTATATATCGTCAAGCTGCCAAGCTTGAGAAATGTTGCTTGAACTGAATCCTCATTTCCAATACAGATAGTAAGTAAGTAGTAAGATTCCGAGGAACGCTTTCCAGTCCTGCCCCCTGAAAAGCTTACGCCCGACCTTCCAACCGGAGCCTCACCTGAAGCGATAAATAAAACCCGTCGTCTGGTCCGCGCTGCTCACTCCAGATCTTCGTTGCTTCCTCCCAGGACATCCCTCTCTCCACGCTTATCTAGAAGGCCAGATGGGAAACCATGCTTGACTGCCAACTCCACGCTCTTGTGAATAAAGGCCACCAGGGAGGGATTTCAGCCGCTCCCCCCAAGCTGACTTGCCCGTCCAACAACTTACAGTGTACAGTTCGACGTGTCCGGAGGTGGAATAGCCTGGGGTTAGGAATTTTTTAGCATCTGCTTTCCTCACTTTTTCATCTCCCGATCCCAGATCTGGGGGGGGGGGGGGCACAAGAAAGAAAGAGATCAGCATCTGACAAGATATTCAGGTAGTCCCCGAATATTTTGGACAAAGGACCCCAAAATTTCCATTGCAAAGTGAGACACTTGTTAAGTGAGTTTTGCCCCATTTTACAACCTTTCTTGCCACAGTGAGTCACACGGCTGTTAAGTGAACGTGGCTTTGCTGGTCAGAAGGTCACAAGACCCAACGGTCATAAATATGAGTCAGTTGCCAAGTATCTGAACCGCAACAGTCACATGAAAGTCGTAAGTCCCTTTTTTAAGTGCCGTTGTTAACTTCAAGTGATGAGTTACAAAATGAACTGTTGTAACTCGAGGACTACCTTTATTTGATGTACCAGGCATAAAAATGAACACAGGAATTCAATCTCCACAGATAGGGAAAGGATGAAAGCTTGAGACAATCAGACGCGGCTCCACTGAAAGTGGTTTATGCAACAAAGCGGTTTAGGTTAATGCGTAATAAAGGCTACGGAAGGGAAAACCAGGAAGATAGATTCACTTAACAGCTGTATCAAGAAAGTTCATGAAGTGGGGCAAAATTCACTTCATGACTGACTCACTTAGCAACAGAAATTTTGGGCTCCATTGTGGTCGTAAGTCAAGGACTACCTGTACGGTCCACCCTGAAAACGCCGCCTTACCTAATATGCCCATGTCGTATCTCCCGTTCTTCTTCGCATTCTGGATGACGCCGTTTAGCGTGTCTGAGAAATACTGGAAGAGAGCGTTCTGTTGGTGGACTTCCATGCCCAGAATCCGGTTCAGGAATTTCCCAATATTGTTATAATCTAAAAGGGAGAGAAATGAAGTGACGTTAGTGAGAAAAGAGGCAGGGTTCGTTCCCATCCCCGCCCATCATGCTGAGCAACAGGAATAACAGAATGACAAGAGTTGGAAGGGGCCTTGGAGGTCTTCTAGTCCAACCCCCTGCTCAAGCAGGAGCCCCCTTCCATTTCAGACAAATGGCTGTCCAATCTCTTCTTAAAAACCTCCACTTTTTAACTGTGGAGCACCCACAGTTTCTGGAGGGAAGTCATTCCACTATTAATTGTTCTCACTGTTAGGAAGTTTCTTCTTAATTCCAAGGTTGCTTCTCTCTTTGATTAGTTTCATCCATTCTTTCTTGTCCGGCCCTTTCATTAAATTAGACATATCCAATTCCAAATAGCCCAAATAAAATAATCCCAAAGCTGAGCTACGTGTCACTAACAAAGAAGTCCTTCCTGGCAGAAGTTGCCAAGCATGCCAAAGCAAATACCTTTGTCAAGAGTGAGAATTCCAGAGCGGTCTTCAACATTAATTAGGCCGACACCTATCAAACCTTGTCTAACATCTAGAAACAAAAGAGAGAGATCAACTACAGCTCTACAAGACAGCCCTTGGGCGCACAAGTAGGTGTATAAATCACAATCCCAATTTCAAAAAGATTTTCTTCTAAAAGAAAATCATCAGCTGAAAGAGATGGCAAAATCTTCCACCCAAATACCGAATCATTAAATGACTGGAATGTCACGATCAAAAATGAATGTTTGTTTAGCTAAAAATAAGAGTCAACAATCATCCCAGATACTGCGAAGGGAACTTAGTTGCACTTTTTGGAGGTATGTATAAAGAAGCAATTCAATCTCAATTCAAGAGGGCTTTCTCTGAGTTTTATTTCAATGACCGGAAAAAAACACAAAACGTACCTTTAAAAAACTCTCCTGGATAATCTGCTGGCGGAGAGACTAACGGGGAATCCAAATTCACAATGGACTTCATGACTATTTCCAAGGCATTTCGGCCGTACTAATTTAAGAGGGGAAAAAAACAAACAATTGCCTTTGCAATACAGAATTCCTGTATCTGTATTACTATTGTAATATCCCGCCCCGCCTTTTTATATATAAATGTATATTCAGAGAATGACATGTAAATACATATGCAAGTATGTATATATGGATTTCAAGGGAGAAAGAAAAAAGGAGTAGAAACGGCAATGAATCAACAGTGGGAAAGGACTGCAATTTCTACCTTATTGTCAAAGTTGAATCTGCTCAAATCTCTAGTTTCTGTTGCTCTTCTATCTCCATGAGTGAGAGCTCCCTGTTTAAAAACAACAACAAATTGACTTACAAAACGAGAGACAGACGTTTCCTACCCTTTTCAAAATAACAGGGATCACCTTTTTTCAAAATCTGGTCGGATAGAATTAATTATCTATCTGAAGCAATTCACAGCAAATGACTTACCAAGCTCTCCAGCCGTTTGGCAACAATTGAGGCGAATCTCTGTTCTCCTGCCAATTCAGAAATTAGGAAAACGTACTCTGGGGCAGTCACTTGATTGGACCGGTGAGTTCGTCCTGGAGATTAAGAAAAAGGCAAATTTTGTTTGCTGGTGTCAACACAGCATCGCCCCCCCCATCTCCCCAATCTCACATGTCTAGGGGATGCACCTTATTTTATTTAAATAGATTTACATAGACAGCTCGACCCCCCGCTACTTTGGACTCTAAAAAAAAAAAAAAGCTAGAACGAAACAAAAATACAAATACACGTAAAAATTACAGGAGCTTATCAGCCATCCTATCACAATCCACGTTCCTTTTTCTTTGTTTTTTTCTCTTGTGACAATATCTGGAACTCATTCTGAATAAAGTTCACCGGATGGAATGATTCAACTTGTACGGGTAGAAATGTTTACTGTCTGTGATGCGGACACAAACTTAATACTGGATTCTTAAATCAACTGACAAGCCATTTTGGTGATACATACAGGATTGTGTCTGGCAATTTGGGGACATAAGTAAATCTGGAAAAGTTTATTTCGTCACCTGACCACCAAATTGACTTCTACTAATGTCCAGTGTGGGGCCCAAGGTTTTGTCTATCAAGGCATGTTTCAATCTGAAAGCCTATAGAGATGTTTGTCAGCTTGAAGACCTCGTAGTAGAATTGCACTACACTGGAGCTGGAAGCTCCGTTCCCACATTCAGCCAGCCTCAAGCTACTCACCAAACTGCTGAATTGCCCGATCGGCACTCCATGGCAACTCCAGCGTCATATGTACCCTCCTTCTCTGATTTTTGGCCCTTCGATCTGCTTGCAAAGATATGCCTGAGCTGGCGGCTTCAGAGATGATGGCGATATTCTGCAAGACAGAAGAGGTCAAGGTGAAGCAAGGAAAGAAATTGATTTAAAAATGCAAACTTTGGATCTTTGTCATGGAAAGGTAACGTGTTATATTTAAGTTAGATGAAAAACATACCACATCACCTTTTCTTTAGCCAGTTAGGAATTTTTTTCCCCTCCATTATCTAAGAAGCTTCTGCAAATGTTTTATCGAGACACACCTGTCTTCACACAAACTAATTCCAAGCAGGGACTGCATTATTACGTGAACAGTTTTAACTTTTTTAAAAAAAGCAGAGAGTTACATTTGGATACTGTTAATTTTGAAAGAAATGTTACAGTCCAGAGCACTTTTTTAACTTGCTGAAAATGTAAATATTTAGACACTGCAACAAGAAAAAGTTACCTTATCTCCATCCATGAATCTTTGCTTCTCAGTAATATTCAGGATTTCCACAGGAACATCAAGTTCGGACCTGGACTCGTACGAAATGCTGCCGTCGTCGTTGCTCACGACTCTTCCTTTGCGACCTGTCATCTTCGGGACAACGAGTCATTTTAGCTTGCTACATCAAGCGTTAAGCCCTTGAAATAGTCTAAAGACCTGTCAAATATTCCTCAAAGCTGTTTTGAGAAGAAACTCAGGGCTGACCTTTCAAAGTTTTGCAAATGACAAGCTGTTTTTATGTCTGGCCTCTTGTGCTGCAACCCCCTATTCTTACAACTCTCTATACCAGGGGTAGACAACCTTGGCTCTTTTATGACTCGTGGACTTCAACTCCCACAATTCCTGAGCCAGCTGAAGTTGAAGTCCACGAGTCATAAAAGAGCCAAGGTTGCCTACCCCTGCCCTATACAACGAAGGGTTCCCTCCTTGTTAACAGTTTCACTAAAAACCTTCTTTCCTGGATCATCCAAGCCACCCACCTCGGCCACGTTCTCAGGACCTCCCAGTTCATCTATGAGCTCGTCCAGTGTGTTAGGAGGAAGATCCTCGGAGAGCTTCTCCAGTTTATCCAGCAATTCTCTTTTCATCTGCTGGGCCCTTTCCACGGCATCCTGACTCGTCACGTAGCTGGTGTTGGTGTTGGTGTTTGGTGCTGGGAAGTGCCAAAACAGGGACAAAAAAGAGGGGGTTTTTTAGACTCGTAGAAGGAATGCCAGGTTAATCCATGGAATCCTAAATTCAGGAGAGGTTGGTACCATTTTGGGGGGGGGAGGGGACACATTTTATGAAGAGGGATAAGCCTTTTTAAGAAAAGGAAGGATAAGCCTTTTTAATAAAATTGGCTAGTTAGAAAAAGTGCAGCCAGATGTCTTCTGAGTTTCATTTGCAGACTTTACAACTGCCGCTTCCTTGCCAGGCAGAAACACCCTGACATCCAAAACAGAGTAACATACCGGAGATATTTGTAGAAGAGGTCACGGCTGTGGAGGAGAGCGAACTTGGCCTTTTGGATCCGAGACCAGATGCTAATAAGGCACTCTGAATAGAATCGGGGTCTATGCTTTTCTTCTTTTTCTTCTCTTTATTTTTCTTGTGTTCTTTCCGGATTAGCCAAGGGTCTGAGAGGGAGGAAAAGACCAAAGTGGGCAAGCAAAACCTCGCCAGCTTTACCCCGAAGGCTGAAATCATGCCCAATCTAAAGTGATAAAAGATGACAAACCCCCCCCCCCAAATTATCTCACCATCCTCATCATCTTCACTAGATTCATCTCTAAAGGGGTTGAAGTCGTCGTCATCTCCAGAACTTAAAAACCGGGAACTCTCATTGTCGCTCTCCTCGTTCTCCGACTCGCTGAAGCTTTCGTCAGAGCTGCTCCCGGCGAGACCCCCGGTCTTACGGGCTTTCTTGATCTCTCTCGTTATTTCTTCCCCTTTTTTGGGTTAAGCAAAAGTAAAGAAGCGACATTAGAAAGGGGCACCTCAGTTCTTTGGGGTCGGTTGGCAGAAAGAAAGAAAGAAAGTGACCCAGGGTTCCAAATAAAGATAACATTTAACGGGCTCCGTGTTACCTTTGCGCTTTTTTACTTTATCCTCCTTGCAAGGACTGTCTCGAGGAGAGCTGTTGTTACTCTGGACAGACAGGTCAATTCCCAGCAAGCTAAAAAGCTTCTTCCGGTCAGGAGCTGGGAAATGTTTCTCAATGAGGGACTGAAACACCCCCCTGTAAAGTTAGGAGAGGAAAAAACAACAACAGTATTTTAGCACAAACCCAAGTCATGTTTCTGGGGAAATATGACTCATTGGTTTAGCATATTCCTCTAAGTCAAAAAGGGGGACTCTGCTGGCTTCCCAAGAAAGAAGCAGAGTTTTCATTTTATCTCAAAGGGATGCATGGCACCACTTTGCCCAATCTAACACCACGCACATTCGCTATAAAACCATTCAGGAACTTTAAAAAAATGGGTGGACAATGAAATAACTGATTGTTTAAGAGCAGTGTTGTTCAAACTTGGCAACTTTTAAAATGTGTGGACCTCAATTCCCAGAATCCCCCAGGCAGCATACTTTGAAAAACATTGGTTTAGAGGTAAGAATGGAAGCCACACACTTTTGAACTACAGCACAGCTAATAAGACACAGCTAATATTGTGCCCCACCCAATATTTCCAGGCTACCACTCTGAATTTTGGAAGAATTTGAAAAGCCATCATTTCCCCCAAGCCCGCGGGGCCGACAAGGGGCTTACTTCGCTGTGGAGACAAAGTCATTCAGTTCCCCGCCACCTTCTTCCAAAGCTTCTAAGGTTCTGGCTTCTCCGGTGGACTGCAGCCCAATGACCACGCACTGGAAGAAGGAAAACACGGGTGAGGTCTTGAGATCTTCTGAACACGGAGGACGGAGGCATCACCAGTCATTCCAGCACCTCAACCCACCTTGCCGTTCTTGATCTCTTCCCGGGCCAGCTGCACCACTCTTTTGACTTTGGATGCAATGCAGAGGTATTTAAAAAATCTCTGGTGAGCAGACCAGAACTGGCCCCACATGGACTTCTTCATGCGCTGTTCGGCGTCAATGAGGTCAGCGGCCTGTTGGAATTTCTCCCTGGCACTTACCCACTGAAAAAGGGAAGCAGAGTTTTCAGGCATAAAATTCACTCGGGCAACCTAAAATGATCAGTAATATAAAATGAGAGGACAGGATGCCGGACTAAACTGACTGCTCGCCCCAAGGCGCTTATTTGAAAAGGTAACTGGACTTTTTTGTTTTCATTGAAAACGTTTCGCTTCTCGTCCAAGAAGCTTCTTCAGGTCAGTTCTGAAGTGAAGGAAAACACCAAGAAAGTCCAGTTGCCTTTTTGAAAAAGCATCTTTGGGACAATCGTGATTGAGAATTTCCAGAGACAAACAGACTACCGGTTCTTCAAGCCTAGTTCTTAAATTTTGGGTCGTAGTTTTCTAAGAAAATAGATAACATAATGAAACTTTGCTGACTTGTATGTTCTGCAGCTCAGGAATTGGTTGTTTTTCAGTAACAGGGAAACTGTTTTTATAGACCAAGCTACTGAAATGTCAGGTTTTAGCTTAGAAAATGTGTTTCTGTTCCACCAATGTCAATGTGGCTTAGGCATGACTACATCTGCCTCTTGCTGCAATAACGTTGCGTAAGATTTACAGAATAAATTCCTTGGAATGGAGGAAGTCCGGGTTTGCTATTCATGCTTAATAATTGCATTCTCTGGGCATCTAGAAACCCTGCAAGACTCCTGAACTTCTAAGCCCCTCTGGGATGCAGAAAATCTGATCAAGACCCAAGTATGGTTAATGGAACTGATTTCACGCTGTCCTGTTCATTTTTACACTGTTCCAAAGATTCAATGGTGTTTCTATCGCAATGAGTTAATACTACGATCTTTCTCAAAGCGTCTTGAACCGCCAACTTCTCCCTTTTGAAGGCTTACCATTTTCACAGATTTATTATACATTTTGATGTAGTGCTGAGAAAGATGAACTTCATCTATTTTGAAGGTGACCCCTGAGAAGCTCAGCTGCCGGGCTATGTACATTCCTCTTAGCTTCATATCCATAGCAACTATTTCCATGGCACCCACACCTCTGAAGATTGAAAGAAAAAAAGACCATTTTTAAAGGGAGATTATTCTCACAGGGACCTAACTGGAACTTTGGGAAAAGCTGCGCGAAAAGCCTGACGGTGGCGCCTCCCATTTTACTCAACGCCAGCCAAGACCTACAAAAGCACCTTCTTTCAACTGCTTGGATAAAATCGCTGAATTCCCTAAACGGGGTCCCTTCGCCCCAAATCCCAAGGCGGTTCATATACGCCATGTTCCGGGGCTCTGATGCACCTGAAAGGGAAAAAAAATTAAAAAGGAAATTATCCGTGCTTTTTTCCCTTTGAAAACAGGATTGAAATCCACTCCACGTTCAAAGGATGCAAACGGTCCTTACCTGTGGCACTAGCATAAATAACTCTGGCCTTTGGAAGCTTGTTCTGCAGCTCCAGAACAGCCAAGCCGGTCTTAGTTGGTTTTGAAGAGCCAACTGGGCAAAGGTTTTTTGCCTTGTGGCATTCGTCAAACACTATCTGAGGACGTGGTTAAGAAACAGACATTTTACGTACACACATGTATAAAGTTGCATGGCAAACATTCCAGTCAATGGAAGCCAGGAATTGTTAATAGCTAATATATATATTGATCAATTAATTTTAGCAATACTGAACAATAAACCTTTTAGCTGTAAGTAAGGAATGTTAACAAAAGTTTCAACAAACTATTCCAGGCAAACATGGTGACTTAATGATCAGCACAACCGTCCGAGAATTAACGAGGCTAGATATAAAACTTAGCAATGTTTTCCAACTGTGGCAACTTCCTGACATATGAACGTCGATGCCCAGAATTCTCCAGCCAGCATGGGCATTGTTGAGAATTCTGGGAGCTGAAACCCATACTTCTGAAAACATAATTACTTTATCTAGATCGCCACTCTATCTGGAAGCATTATCTGCTTTCAAACTTTTCATAGCCTTGGAATTGAAAAATGCAACTTATAAAAGAGTATCTGACACTGATTAAAAGAAGCTAATTTAATAGGAGGGATATTCCCCCCCAATCTAGCAACTGGAAAGGATACCACGCCATCAAAGTCGTTTCCGCACCAATGAAGCAGCTGCTTCAGCCTGGTTTTATATTTTCCTCCAGACTGACTTTCCCCAATAAGTGAAGAATAAGTGGCAAAGATGACCCCCTTTTTCACACTTCCATTATGCTTGGAGGAAATTTTTCCATATTTGAACTAAAGCAGAAACAAGATCAAAGGTATAAAAGATATTCTGTTCTATTACAAATGTGTACACATTAACTTCCTAACTAAACTCCAAATAGCTTTAAAAGCTACATCTTAAAAAAAAAATTTTTTCTGATTTTATTGCGCCTGGCACTCAAATAGATCAGAAAGCTGATGGACTCCAACTGAGGTTTCATTACACTGAGAAAGACTGTCTTATGTATCACAGGATCCATTCATCTTGGTAGCTCATTTGTCCAATGAGATATTATAAATATATGCTCAATATGGAGAAATTCTAGCAAGTGGTTTCCTTTTGTAAAACCTTCCAATAAAGGCAAATGTAATTTAATGTTTCACATGAGGGGAGAATGCAGAAATACATCACTATTCCACATAATTTAATTCCACGTTTCAATCACTGAGGATTTGAAACACCCCCTCCCCATTATGACCTCCAAAACATGCAACATGCCTACTGCAATGATTAATCCGAAAAATAATTTGTGACCAAGCAATTGTTGCACTACTTCCCAACACAGCGCAAGCCACCCAGAAAGCAACAACGATAGGTTCACTGGGCATGCATCTCACACAAGCGTACCTAATGTATGTGTGTGTGTTTTTTGCTTCAATTGTACATAGTAAAATATTTCCACACCTTGTTTAATGAATGGACCAAAATGTTTTTGGCACCAATATCTCTCAAGTCCCTTTCGGCATCATATTTCAGATCGTTTGAAACACTAAACCTGGAAGACAGCAAGGGCAACAGACCCACCATGAAGACAAATGACAAAAAGGACAATATCCCACTGAGCCTGATGCCAGAGTATAAGACTTACCATACTGCCCTTTTTCTACCCAAGAGATAGTTTTCATAAATGATGCCAGCGATGGTTCTTCCTTTTCCTACACCGGCACCATCACCTATTAAAAAGCCAGCTCGGTCTCCGTTTGGTAGGAATGTCTCATGTTGCTGTGGGGAAGTTACAGAATTTATCTGTTTAGTGCATGGCATGGAGTACATGGATAAGAGCAAGTCAAAATTTTTAAAATGTTGCTGTGGGGAAGTTACAGAATTTATCTGTTTAGTGCATGGCATGGAGTACATGGATAAGAGCAAGTCAAAATTTTTAAAAGGAGCACTTAATACTATGGTACACGTACAAAGGAAATATGTAATCAATTTTGTAAACTATGAAGAATTCAAGAAGTAATATATAAGTTACAGGTTACATTTTGAAATACTTTGCTTCCTGAGAATGGAATAAGTGTTCTATAGATTAATTATTTAGGCCAGTGGCTCTCAACCTTTCCTTCACCACGGACCCTCTTTAAACACCTTTTGTGGCCGCGGTCCACGGGCATAGACTCCCAAGGCTTAACTCAAGATTTAAATTATAAAATTTCTTCAAAGCCGTTGTGGCCCCCATGACCACACTGTGCCCCCCCCCCAGGATCTGAGGATCAAGGGTTGAGAACCCCTGATCTAGGCCATTTTTCTGATTAAGTGCAGTATTTTAGTTGTGAGAAAGACTGCTTTTACAGAAAACCCGTCATAATATCTGTGACAAGAACTGTCTTCGGGCTCAACTTTAGTGGACTTCTAGACAGGCACAAATTTTGTAGCAATACCTGTGCTGCGTAAGTAATTGCTTCAAGCTGCAAGGCTGACAGCCAACCGCTGTCAATGCTCTCCTCCGGAATCGAAGATTTGTACCATACTTCAGGAGGGGTCACGCTGGAAAGGGAGCTGGTTTCTACTACCGGGTCAGGATGGCGCAAGCCGATTTTTACTGTGGGAGAAAAAGCAGGGGGTTAAGGTGGTGTTTCCTCCACCTTGGATATTCAGGTATTTTAATTTTGCTAAAAAGAAGTAGCAGGCGTACATTTTATGGGCATATATTCGGCGTATGTCTCTGCGTGGCCCATTTCTTCTTCATCCTCTTCCTCGGGTTCTTCTTCCTCTTTCGTGACGGGCACTTTCTGCAGGAAACATCAGTGGGTGTTGCACTATGTCGCACACAAAGCAGCCACGTTCAAGAGTGAACAGACCCACACGAATGTGGAACGTGGAACCTCCCGGCCTTCTTCCCACTGACTTTCAGAATGCTACCTTTAAGGCACTCCTCTTCTGATGCCAGTTGTTTTTATCCAGAAGAGATTTTGAAATACCTACCGGGGGAGGGGAGGGTCTTGTATAATCCAGTTACCCAAGTTCACAGCTCTACTATGTTGCTTCGAAGCCAAGAAACGTTTGTCTGAAATGGCTTCGTATATTGTATTTGTATGTAAAAAAGGCCGAACAGGAAGCTGATTGATAAACAGCATGTCTATGCAAACCTCTAAAGATTTTGTCCCCAAAAGAGCTTGCAATATCATGGTCAAATACACAAAACCAAGGATGAAAAAGCAATCAGTCTATGCAATAGTAAAGTGGATCAAAATCCAGGATTTCAGATTTTAAGAATAAAGTTCTGTTGTAGCAGGAGAAAAGCAACCGTGTAAGTCCTGTAAAAGAATAAAAGCAAATAGAGCAATAGAAATACAAATTTAGGGCTGCACTTACCATGGTGGGAGAGAAGCTCCTCATTTTCAGATCATTTACCCATATTCTTGTGACTTCTTTAGTTGAAGTCTCCTTTTTAACAGTACCATTACTCAGATCGGCTGAAAGGAAAACGTCCCAAAGGATTCAATATTAAGAAAAATATCTATGATGCAATAAAGCATTCTCTAAGCTGGTGTAAATGAGAGGCAAACTTTTTATTCACCCAAACACCACAGTGCAGATGAGTAGGAGTGCAAAAGCATCAAAGTTAGACAAAAATTACACTGAATTTCCCACTGGGGGGGGGGGTGAGAGAAAGGAAACTCTACATCCAGTTTTAACAATGGAAGTGATCTTACCAAGCTTAGTGGTGTTTACCACGTTTGGGGACACAAGAATTATGTCTGTAAAAAAGGCAACATTTGGGACCTCAATACATTTATTATGAGATCCAGCCATCTTGGCTTTCTTTTTCTCTACCTAAATGAATAATTTGAGGATAGCACTTGTTATAGTATGGGTTGGGTGATTAGATAGCTAAGGTTGCACAGCCCGGGGCTAAAGAATTCCTAGTACAGGTAGTCCTCGACTTACAACCACAATTAAACCCAAAATTTCTGTTGCCAAGCTAGACATTTGTTAAGTGAGTTTTGTCCCATTCTACGTCCTTTCTGGCCACGGTTATTAAGTGAAATCTGGCTTTCCCAATTGTTTGTCAGAAGATCGCAAAAGGAGATCGTGTGACCCCGGGACTCCGCAACCGTCATAAATGTGAACCAGTTGCCAAGCATGTGAATTCTGATCACGTGACCGTGGGGATCCTCCCACCCTGCCTGCCAACGTCCATTCAGACGACTCCCCTACTTACTTGCCGCAGTTGCCACAGGCGGAGCGATGTTGGACGGGGGCTTCAGTTTCATCAGTTCATTAAGACTGTTGTTTTTGAGGAGATCTTTCAGCTGGATCTGGTCCTTGGGCACGGGGGTGGTGAGGGTGTTCCGTGCCACCGGCACTGTCACCGAGGGCCGGGTGGTGGTGCTGGTTTGTATAATCTTTGCCACGGTGATGGTCTGCCTGGTACTGGTCACAGGGGTTGTCTTTGTCATGACGATGGTCGTCCCCAGGGTTGGGAGCTGGTTGATTTGATTCAGGACAAAGGTTGTGGTGGAGGGTGGTTGCTAAAGGAACAAGAGAAACTCGTCCTTGTGGTGGCCGGATAACCAGACAACTGCCCAGCATTTGTTCTTTCTAACTTAAGCGTGGAAGTTGCTTCAATTGTGACAGGCTATCCAATACAGCACACAGGATTAAAACCGTGGACGAACATCACACAATGCAACATCGAGGCCACATCAACCATGCTGAGGAATATCCTTCCGATCAAAACAACCTTTCTAAAACAGGCAGGTTTGGGCAAGTATTCTAAATGCCAATAGGATGATGCTGACCTGACTTCAGGTGGAATGATGTCCCACAGGAGAGAGGTAGGTTTCGTTTTACAGATTCGATATAAATGGCTTGGAAACCTTCTCTAAGTATCAACTGATTCAAAATATTTTAAAAGTTTTTTTTTTAAAAAATAAACCAACAAACATAAGATGTTATTTTTGAGGGTAACTCTGCTGTAAACGTAAACTTGTGCATTTATTCAAGGAACAAATGCCCCTATTTTTATTTGTACTTCAAGAGATGTACATTGTAATCTTCAATGTAACTATTTAAAAATCTGTTTTCCTTACTCTGATGCTCAGTACTATAGGAGAAGAGGCAGCTACTGATGCTTCTGATTCCAAATCCAGCTCTAATGCATTAAGAGATACTGACTACAAGAGAATTAACAGTAATGTTAGATTGGTGCTATTGGTGTTTGTTTAATGCAACATGCTTCCTTTACTTCAGATGTATTTAGTGGAAAATGCTGTGTATGTATATTGCAATATATGCACAAAGGTACATATTTTAAAGTTTACATGGATGTACAAAATCTGAATGATTGAACCAAACCATGCAGATCGTCTGAATTGTAGCTTATCACTGTTAAATACCTTGCTGAACAGATCAAATAGTAGGCATTTGCACTGCCAGAGCATCCTTCACCTAGCTAAACCAGTTTTTAATATTCAAACAATAAACTGCAACATGAAGGAAGCAAACAAACTGGATGTTAGGCACAACGAAAACACACTATCAGGGTTGACGTTAAGCCCTGTGTGAATACAGCTGCTAGACCTTTGTCTCTGGTTAAGCAAGTTTTACACACAAACTAGTAAGTAGGTGCACTGTGGCCATAATCCCTAGTTCACATCTTAAAGGAGGGTCTGGCCAAGCATATTTGGTGTGGCTTCTTGTATTGTCTGAACTCAGTCATGGTTCTGGTATTCCTTACACAGAACTCAATCTGCATCAAATAGCACATCGGAGGCTTATATTTTGCAACTGACAAAAGGAACAGCAATGCAACATGTAACATTCTTAGAGGACAAACCCGGCAAGGGGATTAATGTGATATAAAGTCAATGCAATGTTTTAAATGGGCCAGCAGAATATAGTCTGAAAAAGTTTATTCCTTATTCCAACAGAAGTCAAGCAGATGCAGGCACACAGCAGTATCAATTTTACAAGTTCCAGGAAATCTGAGAATGAAGGTTTTCCATTTACGGGTAATGTATATAAAGTAATCAACTTTATAATTATGTTATTTCAGGGAAATAAAAGTAACTCAAATGCTACTAGACCGTGACAAACACAAAATTGTAGAAAGGCTTTCCAACCTGCTGAATAGCTGGAGGTGGAGTTGCGAGGCCCATATCTGGAGAATCGATATCAAACAAGTCATTTGGGCTAATTCCACTTTCACTTAAAGCTGTAAGCAAAAGATCTTGTCCTGGTTCCACCATTTCTGAAACAGAGCAAATTATAAATAAGCTTTTTCAGCCGGGACATCTGCTTCTACTACAGGCCATTATTTCTCTTCACTTCCTTAAAAGCTGCCGCAACTTAGTTCAGGAACATCTGAAACATTTGACAGAAAGTGATCGTTGTATTAAGAAGGCTGAATGAAAATCAGATTCGACAACCGTTTGTCCGAAATGTGTGTTTCCTGCTTGAGCAGGAGATTGGACTAGAAGACCTTCAAGGTTCCTTTCCTGCTCTGTTATTGTTAAATCCCTTTTCCAAGTTATTCTCTTAAGAGCAATAGTTTCGCTAAATGCCAACGTAAATTGCCCTTCTACTGTAGTACCTCCTTATAAGAACTCCTATGAGTTCAGTTGGAGATACATCAAAAAATAGACTGAAGATTGGACTGTTGAAAACTCGGCTTTCACATGGCGGAACCTACTTACATTTACAGTTATGGTGCGAGGCTTTCTGTTTCCCCAGAAAGAGCAATCTTCTTTGTAAATAAACCATGAATCCAAAATACAAAATATCCCATTAATCTTCAGAGCAAAACACAGACAGGAGCAGAGCTTGACAGTACTAAGGGCAGATAACCCCTTACCATAAAAATTCCACAAACCTGGATTGCCTTTTAACACTCAGGCGTCCACTAGCCACCCCACTAAAGGTATTTTATTTTTATTTGTTTAGCATATCTAGGAGCTGCCCATCTGCCTTCTGCTTTAGTTATTTTTTTCCTAGGCAAATTTTTCTTCTGACATGACTGCTACTAGAAGCATCACATAACATTGTAGCTAAATACTCTGCTGGAGTAGAGCCTTTTTTATGGTAACTTTTCACAGTAAGTTTAGTCCCTTTTCTCTGTAGTCACCCAAGAAGACAGGAAGCCCCTGTTTTCGGCCCATTAGTTTCCAGGATTTTTTTTAAAAAAAAAACAGGAACCATAATCTGTACTACTAGAAAGCAACATACACATTCCAATTTACAGTTTAAGCTTCTTTGATTATCTCCCTGCAGTGACAATCCCAGATTCCACCAACTTGTTGAGGATTCATTTTCAAGCTTGACACAACATACAGATTTTTTAATGGGTTGTATGAAACAAAAATCAAACACAAAGACACGTAGCAACTCAAAGTTCAAACTGCCCTGTGTTGCTAATCTGGAGGCCTTCAAGAATTATGAATGAGCGCTCATTAACCATGCCTGCTATCAAAACAAAAGATTCTGTCTGGCATTTTAAGTTTGCACTGGTATTCAAGGCTTTCAGCTGAATTAGTTTCCAAACAATTAGCATTTGTTTTGTGAGACACAGATATCAGTTTCCAAAACAGAATGATAGAAAATTATGCATCAATCAATACGACCAACACAGCCTTTGCCTGGAGAAAGAATTTAATGACCGTAGAATCAACTAGATAGGCAGACTGTTTGTCTGAGATCTTCTCAAATGTCCTTACCAGGATGTAAAATCTAATCAATGATAATCCCAAATCATGTCACAGAGGCCTGAAGACTCTGATGTGTAATAGAACATAGTAAAAGAGAAAATAAACTTATAAATCTCCCTAGGTGGGTCATCAGATCACAGCCTTCCCTACCACGTGCTGTAGAACATAAACTTCCGGATAGGGTTGGGTCTAAGTGAACACTCAGACCCCACATTTGCCCCACAGATCAACTAAACCAATCATGTTAGCAGCAGCAACCAGATCCTTGGGGCTAGAGAAAGGTAACCAATAGTGAGAAAGCCTTAGAAACAATAGTCTTTCTCCTGAGCCAGCCAGGAGGAACAAACTGCAGCCCCCTCCCCTTGTTTAGCAAAAAAGGGGGAATCCATTCTTTTCAGCCTTCCCACCCATCAAGATTGGATGGCTCCAGGCGTCTTTCCACCCAGCATGTCTGGGAACAAAAAAGGCAGGGGGGAAAAGGGGCTGGGAGAAGAAGGTATCCCCTGCCAGTGCGGGCCAAATGCGAAGTTTCCCAGGGCTGCAGAAGGACCACCCCACGTGCACACCATGATCCCTGGCAGGGCAGGGGTCCTGGCTCCCCTTTGCAGGACTCTCCAGCCAGCTTTGACTTTAAATCATCAATATACTCACATACATAACCATATATGCACACTATGTATGTGTATGTATATATATATGGGGTTGCGATGGGTTGGACACGACTTCGCAACAATATACAAACATATATATAACAGAATATGTGTGTGTATATATATGCATATACGCATGTACTGTATGTGTATGTCTATATATATATATAAATTTTCTATGTCAATGGGAGCCAGAAGGGAGGCTCCCCCCTCTTATTCCTCCCCCCTACTTTCCTCCCCCCCAAAGCTTCAAAGCAAGGGCTGCCTCTTTCTTCAACTGTCAAGACACACACACATACACAAATACACTATTTAATATACATTAAACTCTATGTGTACATGTCTGTCTGTCTGTCTGTCTAAATTGAATAGATAGATAAGGGAGAATCTCTACTGTATGTCAGTAGGGGCCACCAGGGCTTCAAAGCAAGGCTGCCTCTTTCTCTCTTAAACAGTCAAAATACACACACACACACACACACACATTTAATGTGTATTAAACTGTATGTGTATATAAAGATAGGTAGGTAGGTAGATATTCTATTAGGGTCCGGGCGGGTTTCTCCCCCAACATTTCCAAGCAAAGCTGCCTCTTTCTATTTCCTGGAGATGCAGCATAGCCGCCCGGAATCTCCGGGCTCGAGGGAGGCATGCAGCGGGGCTGAGGGCGGCCGGGGAGGCGGTAAAAAGACCCCCTCAGACCCGCTTTCTTGGGAGAAGCCCCCTTCCCGTGTCCCTGGGCCTGATGGGACGCCGCCTTCGCGATTCGCCGCCTCGCCAGAGCCAGGCGGCTTCGGAGCCCCCGCAGGGCGAAAGGACGGGCCGCTCTTCTCCTCAGGCGGCAGCGACTCGGAGCGCGAAGCCGGGCGGGGGGACTCACTCTGGCCGTGTCGGGAGGACGCCGTCGAGAACCTTCCTCGTCGCCGTTCCCCTCCTCCTCTTCTTCTTCCTCCGCCCTCGCCGCAGCCGCCGCCGCTGCTTCCTCCCCGCGGCCGTCGCCTCAGCAGCCGTCGCGCCGTCCGCCGCTTTCTAACTCGCCGCCGCCATCTTGGCCCGCGCGCCCTCCGCTCGCGCCCTACCTCCCGCGGGCGGAGGGGGGGAAGAGACGAAAGGGAGGAGGCGCGCCTGCGCGAAGGAACTCGATGCAAGCGGCAGCCGCAGCGAAGTTGGCGCCGCCCCACGTGACCGCCCCTAGGCAGGCTCGCGCTTCCCTCCTGTTGCCGGGCGAACCAGGCCCACGTGACCGTAGCGGGCTTTTTTTTTTTTTTTTTTAATCCCCGCCAAGCAGAAGGCATAGGGGGGAAGTGGGCCTGAAGGCGCACGCGCGCGACGCTGGAAATGCTGCTCACACCCCCGCGGCGCGGTCAGGTGGTCTCGCCGGCCGGATCACGTGGTAGCGCGTCAAGGCTGGTTGGATCCTGGAAATAAAGAAGGGGGAGGGAAAAGGAGGCGAGGAGATAAAAAAAAAAAAAGATGGAGGCGCGCATGTTCTCCAGCGTCTCATCGCGGAAAAGCCCCGTGTCGGATTCCACGATCGCTTCGTTCCTCCGCAGGTGGAGCAGTTCCACGGTTGTCGATTCAGGCTCGAAAGCTGATCTAGGCCCATCTTTTTTTTTCCCCTTTTCTGCCCGTTGGGAGGGGCAAAGAGGAGGTCGAGGAGACGACGGTTGGGAGTCACATGATCTGTCTGCCCAAGATGGCGGCGTTGTACGTCGCCACGCAAGGAGTACTTCTTCCTCGGATCGCGAGAGGCACTGGTGCATGACGGGAAAAAGAAGGTCCTGTGGCGGGACGTCATTGCGAGGAGGCCAAAAGCCCTCTAGGGAGCACTGCGCAGGCGCAGTAAAGGCTGCAGTTTTGATAGCGTAGCATCGTTGCTTGGCTTCTTTTGCTACTGAATTTACACTATTTTTTTTTCTTTTGATCTTCGTGTTGAAAAACAAAAAAAGGCAAAACGTGATGCTTAAATAGCGATTATTTGAGGAGCAACTATATTCCTTCTATAAACATTACCCATCAAGCTCTCCAGTAAAATAAAAGAGCCAATCCAATACTGAATTTCTTTTCACAGGCTTGGTTTATTTATCATGGTTTTTGACCTACTTTTCGAGATAAAAATGCCATCGGCAGCGAATGGAACCCCGTTATGATGACAAAGAATGGAATAAACCGCCATCCTTCTTGAAAAGCAAAGCAAATTGCAGCTGAAAGCGCAGAGAGCGCCGCAATCTGTTCTGCTGCGAAAAAAAATATGTCCACGTTGCACGTCTGCAGCGTCATCCAGGCTCTCTTCTGCCAAGATGCCGCAGTTTACGATTTGGGTTTGGAACTGCTGCAAAGATTTAGCCGCCTAATCTGCGTGAAACCGGCCTGCCCCGACGGCCGCTATGTTCCCCTTCTCCGAGCCTTCAACACGTGTCCAGGAATGACCCAGTTCACACAACCCCCACTCCCGGGACGCCAGAAACTGCCGGGCACCTCTGCCGCCCACGTGGATTCCCCCCAGCCTGGAGAAGGAGGCGGAACAGTCGCGGCGCGCCTCCGCCAATCAGGCGCCGCTTCGCCGCCGCGCTGCCCAATCAGCACCCGGCAAGCTCATTTCAAACTCTGCCTTCTCGGACTTCGAGTGGAACCGGGAAGCGCCTTCCCCCCGCCCAATCCGGAGGCCGGAGGGGCGTGAGTGGCAGGCCGAGGAGGGGCTTGGGGGGGTCCCCTCTTGAGAAAAGTCTCGGCAGCCCCTCGGGGAGGGAGGGGGTCCTCGAGGAAGCGCTTCCTTCGCTCTTTGCCCGGCTGTCAAACGAGGAAAAACTCCCAGGGTCGCTTTGGCATGGCGAAAGGTAACCACTGCAGACCCCACCGGGAGGGGGATGATGGGATGGGAGGTCCTGGTGGATGGGCGGGGGTCTCGGTGGTGGAGGGTGACCGGGAGATGGGGGTGATAAGGATTGTAGTCCAACACCGGAGCAGGGATGAGCAGCTGTGGTCCCTTTAAGATCTGCGGACTTTTAACTCCCAGAATTCCTGAGCCAGGAATTCTGGGAGTTGAAGTCCGCCGGTGGTAAAGAAGCCATACTTGCCCACCCCTGACCTGAATAGAGAGATGGAGTGGGGGGGGGAGTTGGTGGGCAGAAGGCTGGGGGTTTTCAAGCTTGGCCCTTTGAAGAGGGGTGGGCTTCGATTCCCAGAATGCCCCAGCCAGCCATGGGGCATACTGGAAAGGCAAATCCACCCATCTTCAAGTTATCAAAGCTCTGCTTTAGAAGCTAAAGGGTTCCCGGAGCGTGCAGTCTTGGGGACAAGGCCTATTGAAGAAGATGGATTCTGACTAAGCACTTGTGGAGTTGTGCAAAAGATGGAAAGACTTGCAGGGATTTCTCTGGGTGATTTCTGTGGCAGCGATGCCAGGTTTTTTTTTCTTCTTCTTCTCATTGCTTTCTTCTGAGATGAGTCCTTGAGTTTTCATGCTAGGATCTCATCTTAAGATTTCCTTGTGGTCTCCTATCCCTGGCAAAAGGATTCCGCCCTAATTAGTTTTTCAAAAGCATCTAGCCTTTCTTTGTAAGTGTGTCCTACGTTTTGTAGCCTTGACTTCTCTCCTTTAATTCTTCTAGTAGTTGCTTTTACCTTCCTGCTTGGAGGTGGGGCACAAAGGAAGGTAGTGATGTGGGTTTAGGGCAGAGGAATCTGGCTACGGATGGGATGAAAAGCTCCCCTTCTCGGTGGGAGAATTAAAAGAATTCTTAGAATAGCTGAGCCCTTGGACTGTCTCCCTTAGGAAAGGCAGAAATCCACCAGGCCATTGTTTCTCAATTTTGACAGTTTTATGATGTTTGGACTTCAACTCCCAGAATTCCCCAGTTCTGGTTTCTCTGGATGAAGACTCTATGGTTGCTGATGCTCAGTGGGTTGGTTTAACCAAGGCTTTAAGCCAATGTTTGTCAACCTGGACCACTTTGAGAGGTGTGGCTTTCAACTCCCAGAATTCCTCAGCCAGACTGTGAACCATTTGGGTCAGAAACAGGGATTCTGAGCATGGATGGATGGATTAGTGCAAGATCAGAAGATGTGGAGAGACCTGGCCCATAGAATTGCCAAAGTCAGGCACAACTGAATGAATAACATAGATGAGGGAAAGAGACTAGACTAGATTAGATTAGATTAGATTTAGAATTAGATTAGATAGATAGATAGACAGACAGACAGACAGACAGATAGATATGATGGATAGATACACAGACAAGAAACAGAGAGAGAGAGAGCAAGCCCCTGGCCAAAAGCCGAGGATCCGGCTACCCCCCTTGCAGGATCTGTCAACTCTCCCGCAGCGGGATCTCCCCTTGGGATCCGCTCCGGGACCGGGGCAGCCGGCCAGGCTCTGCGGTGTCCGGGAGGCGTCTCCTCGCGCCGGGCACCTCCAGCCCTTTAACCCGGCTCGGGGCGGGCAGTGGCGGCGGCGGCTCCTCCTCCTCCTGCCGCTGTCTCTGCCAGCTGTGCCCGCCGGGCCCTGAGCGCGAGGGTAGCGGCGCCTCTCTCTCTCGCCCTGCGCAGGCCGGCGGAAGATGCCCCAGCCCAAGCCGGGGAGGGCGGCGGCGGACGAGGCGGCGGACGAGGGCTCCGCAGGAGGAGGAGGAGGAGGAGGCGGCGGCGGCGGCGGCGGAGACAAGCGAGAGCCGGCCCGGCCCAGGATGAACGGGGTAAGCCCAGATCGCCCCCTCCTGCCCAGCCCGCATCGGCGGCAGAAGCGCCCGTGTGCCCAGGGCGCAGCGCAAAGCCGAGAGCCCAGAAGGGCCTGCCTTCCGGGGCGCACGGCGGGATCGGGGTGGGTGGGTGGGTGGGTGACAAGCGGGGACCCCCGGCCGCTCCCCAGCCACCCTCGCCGCCTTTGCACACTGCGTGTCCGGCAGAGCCCCTTCCTCGCCCACCCCCTCCTTTCTCTGCAAAGGAGCAATGTCCAGAAGCCTTCCTGGAAAGGACCCAGCAGGGCGTCGCTGCAGCCGGGAAAGGCAGCTAGGCAACGGGCGGGATACGATTTCCGCCCTCCAGGGGGCCAGCTGGCTGCGGGGAATGGGCCTTGGAGTCCAGCACTGGGGCGGGCCGGCCTTGGCAGGCAGGAGGAGGAGAGGCAGAGGTCCCACTGGGAACCCCCCTTTTTTTTGGTAAACACATTTTTGCCATATTCTATTAATGCTACCTTTAGATTCTGTATTTATACTATATTTGCTATGTCCTGTATTTATGCTAAATTTGCTATGTCCTGCTATGCTGTATTTACTATAGTCTATATTTAGACTATATTTTCTGAATGGGGTGATTTTCTTTTATCCCAGAAGTCCCTTGCAAGATGGGGTGGATTTCAGCTCCCAGAATTCTCCAGCCAGCATAGCAATCTTAAAAATGTGTGGACTTCAGCTCCCAGCCAGACATGGGGACCTTGGGGAGTAGAAGTCCGTGCCTCTTTAAAGATGCAGAAGTTGACAAACACTGGCTTAGGGCATTGCTTGAATTTAATCTATGCTCTGTGGTTCAACCCAGTGTAGGAACAATCTCTGGTAGGTTATTATTGAGCAAATTCTGCTGGAGCCAACAAGGGCAAACCAGGTCTGTATTTTTTTTATTCTCTCCCTTTTAGGAGAACATATTCACTCGCCAATCCAAAATCTACAGTTACGTGAATCCCGGTAAAACGTCCGCCTCTCGGCCCCCGCTTCAAGAGGAGAATTCTGCCACACATCCTGAGACGAAAGGGCAAACCTGCAAACTTGAAACTTGCCAAAAACTGGAAGGTAAGACTACGTTTCTCTCCTGGGAGTTGGCTGGGCAACCCGGCTACTTTGTCATTGGGGGTGTCTGCATGCTGAAATGATGGCCTGGGAATGTTGCTTTAACCTGTCGGAGGAAGAGAAATGGTTTTTTTTTAACTTTGATTTTCACTTGTCAGTTCTAACCTGGTCCTCATCTCTATTTTTCATCTGTGCTTTTCCTTTTAATGTTTACCTTGTTTTATTGTGTTTGTAAACCACCCAGAGTCCCTTAAGAAAATGTTATATATAATAGTTTACTCTTTCTTTTCACCCCCAAATTGCAGACCGAGTACAGGTTGGTGACTCGACCTCCGGTATTGCAAAATCCGACAGCCAGCACAGCAAAGCAACCGAATGTGAACCTTTAGCATCTCTCTCCAGCCCGAATCCCAAACCGACGGAAACTCACAAACTCCCGCCAGCCAAATCAGACGAGGTCACCAGCCAAAAGCAGGTCCCGAACAAGGCAGGCAAAAAACCTGCATCCCGAAGGAAGTGAGTGCAACTTAAAGAAGTGGTAGGCTTTGGGTAACTTAATCCTGAATTTTGTGGGCATCTGGAGGCAATGAGAAAGCCCCCCTCCAGTCCTTTCACGTTTACCTGCCTTTCTCTTTCTGTCTCAGAGGAAAAACACCGCCAAACCGAAAGGTAACTGATTATTATCCGGTTAGAAGAAGTTCCAGAAAGAATAAAAAAGAATTACAGGTACAGTCTGTCTTACAGCTTCCCCCTTACTGCTAACAGATGTGTTCCTTTTCAGGTCTACCAAAGAATGATGCTTAAATACTGCTCCTCTTCCAATTCGTAGCAGTAACACCCTGTGTTTGTCTTCTGTCTCGTAGACAGAGGAGAAGAAACGGATAGATGAGTTAATCAAGAGTGGGAAAGAAGACGGAATGAAGGTAAAGTTATATTTTATAGTTCACATTGAGAAATCGCCCATCTCGTTCATAGATTACAGTAGGCAATGTGCAAACGGACCCCAAAACCTAAAAGTGATATATAAATATTATAATTATATATAATGAAAAGCAGTTAAGAGGCAGACGACGCTGGTTGAAATTAAAAAAATAAAATGCAGTCTAGCTGTGGGAACTCTGTTGTTTTTCAATGGAACCGGAATGTTTACAAACCGCCTTTCGGTCATTCTACCAAATTATGAGACACTTCTGAAGAACGTCTGCCCTTCAGAGTCAAGATCGGGGTAGTCATCGGAAACTCTTACGTTCGAGGAACTGGGTCACAGTAATGTTCCCTCTGCAGATCGACTTCATTGATGGCAAAGGCCGGGGCGTCATTGCAACCAGGCATTTTAACCGGGGTGAATTTGTGGTTGAATATCACGGAGACCTCATTGAAATTACGGATGCTAAGAAACGGGAAGCGGCTTACGCCCAGGATCCATCGACTGGCTGTTACATGTACTATTTCCAATACTTGAGTAAGACTTTCTGGTAAGAGTCCTCCTCTCTCTGTCTTTCCTTCCTATCCTGCCCCCAAAAATCAGTGTTCCCTCTTAAAATGACAAAAATAACGCTAATGAAAGAAGTAACCAGAGTAAGAGAGAAACCAAGGCTGGCTAACCCATTTGAAGCAAGGATTTACAGGTTAAAGGGCAGATTCAGTCAGTTGTGGTTCATTCAACAAGCCACAGTTTAGAGTAGTGTTTCTCTGCCTCGGCCCTTTGAAGATGGGTGGACTTCAACTCCCAGAATTCCCCATGGTCCGGCTTCTCTCGTGCCCAGACTCTACGGTTGCTGGCGCTCAGATGATGTGTGGGCATCAACTTTAAAATGAGTGGACTTCAACTCCCAGAATTGGCTGGCTGGGGAATGATGGGAGTTGGTTCCACCCATCTTCAACCTGGTTTAGAACAATGAAGTTCTTATTTTAAACAATTCAAACTGCTTGCCAGCACAGTAGCAAACCAGGGGTGTGTTTTTTTTTCCCGACTGGAAATACCTCTTTTAAGGATTGTGTAAATTGCTACCCATGATTGGACCAGAGGCATCAGGCTTTCCTGTGTTTTCTCTGCCTTCCCTGAAATCCACCGCTTAGTGTCGATGCCACGAAAGAGACCGACCGCCTGGGACGTTTGGTGAATCACAGCAAGTGTGGGAATTGTCAGACGAAGCTCCACGACATCGGTGGCGTCCCCCACCTCATCTTGGTGGCTTCCCGAGACATTACAGCTGGCGAGGAGTTGCTGTACGATTATGGGGACCGGAGCAAAGCTTCTTTGGAGGCCCATCCCTGGCTGAAACACTAAGGGGCTCCCTTGCACGCGAGTAAGCATTGGATGTCCCTTGTGGAAGATCCATTGGCAGCTCTTAGGGGTGGATACTTCCAAGAGATCTCCTTTGTGGCCAACTGAAAGGCCAGCAGGGACGACGGAGTCTTCACCTGAACGGACTTTTTTATTATTATTATTTCTATCTTTTCCTTCTCCTCCTCCTCCTCCTTCCTTCTTCTTCCTCTGCTTCTTCTCCTCCTCCTCATCTCCCTCATACTTGTCCTTCCATCCTTCTCATCTTCCTTCCTTCCTTCCTTCCATCCTTCTTCTCCCCTCTTTTTTCTTCGGCATCGGCTTCACAGAGATCCCTGCTTCAATTCGTCCTTCCCGTCTGTTCGGGAATCTTTGAAACATTCAGATTTCTGCACTCTACAGATAAGTTGTTTTTTTTTTTTTTTTTAAATGCAACTTCTTGAAACTGATCTAAGGTGGGACCTGCTCAAGAAAGGGTGAACAAATCTCCAATGAAGTTTGTGAAGGAAACCTGCTTTCCCCCTTTCCTTAGCGAGGCACCAGTGAAGGCGGACAAGAACGCTTGAGGGATGGTCTGGCTTTCCTTAAGACAGGTTTGGGCTCTGGGTCCAGGATTATCACCTCCGTTTGGGGGGGTCTGGGGATCTGGGGTGATCTGTGCCTCAAAAGCTGGGGGAGAAGATCATGTCTCTGCTAAACGGCCGGGGGATGGAGAGCTGGTTCAGGAGAGCAGCTGGAAGAACCCAAAAACGTGGTCTTTTCAAAGCAGCCTGTTTGCAACCTCTTTCTAGAAAGAGGAAGAAAATTGGAAAGCAGTTTTCATCTCTGCTGAGAATCACTGGACTTTTTGGCCAGGAAGGAGCTACAGAGCTCGCAATGTGAAAGCCAGTGTCAGCTTGTCCTTCAGGAGCTTGGCTCTCCGTATGTGACTGGGGGATCTGGTTGTGCTGTCGGCTGTTTTATCTTTTTTTTTTTGCTATTGTGAGCCATCAAAACTGCCATTGGCAAGCAGAGAAAGGAAGCAGGCAATGGAGGCAGGGAGGGAACGTGACAAACTCTAAACAGCCCATAGTTTCCTTTTGCAAGTTCCTCAGCCCAGTTTTACCTCTTCTCTCCAAGTTTGCAAAGTAGGTTGCTGGGTATTGCTTGAAAAACATGTTGCTTGTCTCTTGGTGGCAACACGACATGGGAAAACCAGCAGAAAAATGGCTTTTTAATTGAACGTGGGGCTCAGTCTTAAACAGGGACTTTTAGCAACCAAGTGTTTTAGGATGAAATCACTTCTCGCATCAACTGTTTGGATGGAGGTATATTAACTTGGCGTTCCCCAAATTGGAATTTCCGGCTTGTAGAAACAGCGAATGGAATGGATTCTCTCCTGGAAAGAGTGGATTGGGACTACATTTCCCAGAATTCTTAGCTCCCACCCCTGGGGGCGGGGCTAGGTGAAGGCTGCAGTGAAGCACTTTGGGAGGAGAGAATTGTGAAATGCGTAAGAATTAGGAGGCAGAATCGAGAAACACGTTTCCCAAGTTTACTTCCGGGCCAGAGATTCACGTATGCCATTTTTTTCCCCACGCCCATCTGGTGCTCTCCAGAGGGGTGGGGATGACACATCTGGCTGGGAATCCTGGGAAATGTAGTCCCAGCTGAGCGTCACACTCTTGCGGGGCGAGAGCGCTGTTTCAAACTCTGATGCTGGCGCTACAAAAATTGGGGACTTAAGGCTGATAATGTGTTTTTTAGAAATGATTAAAGAGGAATGATCTGTACAAGAGTCTAAATAAAGTGAACTATTTATTAACAATGAAGACGTTTTGTTATCTCTGACTGAGAGCGATGGAGGTTCCGGCAGCCCTTAATTGTTAATATGAACGCATCCATACGAATCAGAGGATGAGGCTGTTTTCACACATTGTACTAACAAGTTGCCATATTTCTTTTTCAAGTCATGGTTTGTCTGTTCTGTGAATCCAGGCAGTGGTGGCTGCAACGGCAAACTGGCATAGTAGAATGTATGAACCAGGTTTCATGATCCAAGTCTCTGAACTACAAAATCAAAACAGAACCTCCATAATTACTAGAGATGGGAAGGCCTGGAAAAAAGTTGAATAAATTGGGGGAGGGGGGGAAATGGGGGGGGACTGGTTATAATTCAAGGATTACCTGTATACCCTTCCTCTTGGATGCCTCCAAAAATTGGGGAGCCATGTTTGCAAACATAATTTCAAGGATTCTTGAAAACGAAGTGCGTAACTTTATTCTGCTGACTGCAGACATACAAACTTCCCAGTAAAAATTTACCGTGGCAAAGTTATTATCAGAATATCTGCCTTTAAAAGTCCCAGATATTTGGAAGGCAGCAGGTTTGAAAAAGCTTAATGCCAACCAGAAAAAGAAAGAAGAGAACCAATTGGGCTAAAAGAAGAGGCTGAAGCCTCCACCAGCTGCAGCAGATCACTAAACAAACTTCAAGTATTGCAACCGCAGTACGTTTTTTAAAATGTGACTTTCCAGGTTGTGACATCCCAGGGAGGAAATAGTTCAGCGTAACTTTTTAAAGGCAAACCTGCAATGGAAGGAAGGAAGTTAGTGTATGAGTGGCAGGAACAGAATCTGCAGTCCTAAAGGACAAACTAAGTGTAAAAGTCAAAATCACTTAAAGGAATTCTCTGCATGAGCCAATATTTTGAACACGGATAACTGAATGCCTGGAGTGTTTTATCAATCCAAATGTTGAAAATTGCAGGTGTTCTTCTGAAAATCCAATTAAAGGAAGAAATAATCGGTGAGTGGTAGATTTTTGTTTTTGCATAGTATGCATACCGTAGATTGAGTCTCCAGGGACTTGATGATAGAGGAGATTGGCTAAGAACTTCAGTGATTTGAAGATCATGTGGACTTCAACTCCCAGAATTCCCCCGCCTGCATGAAACCTGAGTAATAAAACCTGTCCACTGTCTTAAAAGCCTTGCTTGATTTTATTCAGATTGTGGGTCACTTATTTGAGGTTTTGGCTGGTCCCTGATTTCCCAGGGAAGTGTGATCAAGGAGAAGGACCTAGAACAGTGTAGGCTTCAATTCCCAGAATTTCCCAGGAGCATACTGGCTGGAGAATTATGGGAGTTGAAAGTTGCTGAGAGGTTGAAAAACACTGGCTCACACTGAGATCTGCCCGTTGTTCTAAAGGCTTTAATTTTAATTCAGCATGTGGGGCATTCCTGTGAGATTTTAGCTGGTCCATGACCCTTATCAGAACAGGAATGTAAGTTACTCACCATTGCTTGATTGTCGTTTTCTCTTTAAGTCTAGTGGCACCAGAGGGTGTGCCCCCAGTCGGTTCTCTCTGCGTGGGACTGTCCTTTTCCTGCTTCTGAGAAATATAACCACTAGGCGGGGAAGAAAAAAGCATGTGCTGTTTATTGCAATCTGCTTACACACCAAAGCCACACACACGTCCTGGTATGCACAACATGCTGACTCACAAACAGCAAACCATCTTTTATTCTAGGGTGTTGGGCCAACCTAGACTCTCCATTTATGTACAATAACAGCCTGACAACATGGGGTTAACTGGGTAAATCATGATCCAGTTAACCCTAGAGGTTAGCCACCATTGCTGGCCATCATTCTTCTGTGGTGTTCACAACCCCTGGGCTCCTTGTAATGAATTTTTTTCTAGTTAATAAACTGCAACAATTGAAACAGGTCGATATGAATTACCCTTAGGATGAAGATTTAACAGAATTGGAAGGGACCTTGGACCAACCCCTTTGCACAAGCAGGAGACCCTAAACTATTTCAGACAAATGGCTGTCCGGTCTCTTCTTAAAAACCTTCAGTGGTGGAGCACCCACAATTTCTAGAGGTAACTCATTTCACTCATTGTTCTAACTGTCAGGACATTTCTCCTTAGTTCTGGGTTGGTTCTCTCCTTGATTAGTTTGCATCCATTGCTGACCACGGGTGAGGATAATCCTGCCAGAATTCAACTCTGCTGACCAAATAAGTGGACACAAAGAGGATGGTGGGCCCACCACACATGCTGGAGGCCTCCCAGTGGGGAAGAAGAGATAGCCAAAGACATGACTGGATGACCCAGAATTGTGAATTAATGGTTGTTACCCTGGGCCTGAAGTCCTGGTTGGCTCACAAACCAGGAAGGCTGCAGTGTCCAGCCCATCGCAGGAAAATCTGCATTTTCCCCCCTACCTCTTGTAACATTCCAACTCCTCCTGGACGAAGAGAAGCTGGGCTTTCAGGTGGTTGCGCTCCTGAAGAACGTCTTTGAGCTCCTGTAGCGTAAAACGGGGACGGTTCACGTCTGTGAGGTCCACAATCATTTGGTTGGGACCCAGGTTTACCTACAAGAGGGCAGATTAGCAAAATGGACCCCAACAGAAATTAGAAGGATGGAGTCAGCTTCCCAAAACCCAGAAAGGCACGTGGCGATTCCTTCAAGCAGTTTTGCAAACTTCACGATGCACTTAAGGCAGACCTTGAGGTTAAAAACAAACAACCCCAAATTAAATCAAAATAATGGAAAATGATAGCTGCAGCAGCTACAAAAGTACCAGGGAGTTTAGCTGATGGTTACTGGATGGAAAGTTCAAACCTAAGTGAACTTCTCCTTTTTCCTTGACGCTTTCAGACACGTGACAAGGGTTCCTCGGAGTAAGGGAGCTGCATCTTCCATTTCCTAAATCAGAAATTTCCACCCAGTGGCCTTGTGACTGACACATATCAACATCTGGCAGGCTTTTTCTCCAAACCATAACTGATCCTACCTCGAATTGGAGAGAAATATGGTGCTCCAGGCAGCTGATTCTATCTAGAGAAATCTGTTCTCTAGAGCAAGGGTCTCCAAACCTGGCAACTTTTAAGACTTGTGGACTTCAACTCCCAGAATTCCTCAGCCAGCTATGAATCTATGCTCCCTGAGGAATTCTGGGAATTGAAGCCCACAAATCTTAAAAGTTGCTAAAATTGGAGACCCTTGCTCTGGAGAAGACAGATTCTAGAGAATTCTGGGAGTTGAATCCACAAGGCTTGCAGATTTGGAGAGCCCTGTTCTAAGGAAGCCAGACCCTACGGAATTCTAGAAATTGAGGTCCACAAATCTCAAAGTTTCCCAGATTGGAGACCTTTGCTGTAGAGGATCCAGACCCTAAGGAATTCTGGGAGTTGAAGTCTTAAAGTCGACAAGTTTAGAGACTCCTGCTCTGGAGAAGCCAGGGAATTCTGGGAGTTGAAGTCCACCCATCTTAAACTGGCCCAGGTTAAGAAACCCTAACCCACAACTGGATGTGAGCAGGATGAAGCCAAAGGACCAGGATCCAGAGGTCAACCAATGTCTCCTCTCCATCACCCACCCACTTCCTCCACAGCTCCGCATTTACCTCTCCAGCAGTGCCAGATGTCACTCGCTGCCGGAGTTCCTCCAATTCCCTTTTCAGGCTCTCTCTTTCCAGCTTGAGGGCTTCCACGGCCAGGTGGTTCTCGCTCACCAGGGCTTCCAGCATCTCCAGAATGCTGACCACCTTGAATTGCAAGCGGGCCACCCGGGCGGGGACCTCGGCCTGGGGCTCGGTGCTCAGCGTGTGCAGCTCCCTTCCCAGAATGTAAGAGATGTCGTAGACATCTTCGGCCGTGAGATGGAAGGGGCTTTTCCCGAAAGGACCCTCAGATCCACTGTTGATGCTTCCTCCTCCTTCTCCTCCTTCTTCCTCTTCCCCCTCCCCTTCTTCACAACGTTGCTGAGCTTGCATCCTGGGAAAGGAGTCAAAAAAAGAGGCCACAGACCAGCTGAGACATGATGGGAGTCCAGCAGCCCCACTTCCCTCTTTTCTACAAAGTTTCAGCAGCGGCCAAACCTCTCCAAGCAGATCTGAGAGCTGCAGAGTCCAATCAAAAGCAGGCAGGCAGGCAGGAGAGGGGGTGGTGGAGGCGGGTGAAAGTGAAAGGGGGGGGGGATGTAACCATGGAGCTGAAGGGGAAGGCGTGGGGCAGACTTCCCCAGCTCAAGAGACAAAGGGGAGGGCCCAGCTATTGCACAAGCTGGCTTTCTTTTCCCTTCCTGGCTATCAGACCTGCCTTCAGTCACTGCCGAGACAGCAAAACCAAACGCAGCTTCCATCCAGACTTTACGTCAATGACCCCTCTCCCCCTGGGCCTCAGCATTCCTCCCCTGTATAATGGGCCCAAATGAGGCTCGCTCCCCTCGGGCTGGCGTTTTGCATTGACCCTCTTTCCTCTTCCTGCTTGGAGTCACTGCAAAGCTTTTCTCTGCAAACACAGATGCCATCCTGAGCCTTCATTGCCTCTCTCCCTGGGCCTCGGCATTCCTCCCCTGTAAAATGGGGTCCATAAGGCTGCTTCCCCTGGCATTCCAATACTTCCTGAGTGGATTTGACTCTTCCTCCCTTCATCTTTGTAGCTAGCGAGAGCCTCCTCGCATGACTGAAGGGCAAATAGTAGTAGTAGTAATATAAAGTTGGAAGGGACCTTGGAGGTCATCTAGTCCAACCCCCTGCTCAGGCAGGAAACCCTATACCATGTCAGACAAATGGCTGTCCAATCTCTTCTTAAAAACTTCCAGGGTTGGAGCATTCACCGCTTCTGGAGGCAGGTTGTTCCACTGGTTAATTGTTCTGACTGTCAGGAGGTTTCTCCTTAGTTCCAGGTTACTTCTCTCCTTGATTGGTTTCCATCCGTTGCTTCTTGTCCTGCCTTCAGGCGCCTTGGAGAATAGCTTGACTCCCTCTTCTTTGGGGCAGCCCCTGAGATATTGGAACACGGCTATCCTGTTCCCCCTGGTCCTTCTCTTCATTAGACTAGACATCCCCAATTCCAGCAGCTGTTCCTTCTATGACAAGGATACAAAACTTTGTCCCTGATTGACTTTTTGCTGCTTCGTTTTGTTTAATAATATTTCTTCCTATAAGATGCTTTGCAATTAAAAGTTTGGGGGTTTTTTTTGGCCCTGCTTTGTTTAATAAACTTTTTAAAGCTTTTACTGCCTTTATCCTTTGATCATTTGTGAGTCCGCAAACTTCCCGTGTACGTTGTTAGCATTGTCACATCCATCTTGCAAAAAGCATTTTGTGCATGAGTTTTAAGGGTGGGGGTGGACGTTCTTGGTGGCAACTGCTTCATATGTATGACGGGTTTTGGAGTCCCGGGTATCACGTGATCCCCTTTTGCTCTCGCCTGCCTTTTTTTTTTTTTTTTTTTTGGGATGGGGCAGGGCATTCCCCGACTCCCCCTCCTTCTAAATAGACTGCACTCCAACCTCCATCATCCTGGGCTAGCCAAGGGCGGCCTTAGAGAAACCCTGTTTCTTCCCGATCGCCTAAGTCATGCCCCGCCCCGCCGCGTTTCGCTTTCCTTTTCGCTTTCCTTTTCGGGTTTCGGTTTCGCCGCCGAAGAAACGCCGCGCGGGGAAGTTTTGTTTTCCGGGGGAGCTCCGCCCCGCCGGGCGAGGGGAAAGCCGGGCGGGCCGTATAAAAAGAGGCGCTCGGAGCTCCCGAAGCCAGAAGGAGGTTGGTGTGTTTTTTCCTTCGGCGGACGAATTGCGAGGACTCGAAGAGGATGGTAAGGATGGGGTGGAATTGGGGTACCTTTTACTGTCCTTGTGTAAGCTTCCTCCTTCCGTTATGTGTTCAAGGCGGACGGTATTTAATATTTATTTGTCCTGTAGGGGTGGGGCTCTAGACATATGTTGCACGCGGCATGTTTAGGTGTGGGTCATGTATGTGTTTCACTTGGAGAAGAGCGGGCAGCTCAATTTCACTCTGGATGGGTGCCGTTGTGCCCGCAATAAAAAAAAAATGACAATAAAGGTTATCTTTATCTTGCGCGCCTCTGCGCCCCTCGGAGGGGCTGCGGGGCGGCCGATCCTCGGGGGCTTCTCCGGGCCGGGCCGGGGTCCAGAGCCCCGGGTCGTCCTCGGGCGGGGGGGGGAGTGCGGGGGGGGGACTCCCAGCCAGCCAGCATTAAATCGACCCTCTTCTGCGCTTTCCCAGGCGCTGACGCTGACCGTGAAGCTCCTGACGGGCGAGGTCCACTCCGTGGGCTGCTCAGCCAGCCAGACCGTCTGGGACCTCAAGGTCCAAGTGGGCCACCGGACCGGGGTGTCGCCCTACCTGCAGAAGCTGGCCTGCCCGGACGGCGCCCACCTGGACCTCCGCGACGGCGCCCCGCTCGCCGACTTCGGGCTGCGCACCGGGGACACCCTCCTGATGATGGTGAAACACGAGGAGTCCATCCCGATCCTGCTGAGAAACAGCAACGGCCGGACCAGCACTTACCACGTCCTGCCTTCCGACACGGTGGCGCAGTTCCGGGCCCGGATTCGCACCCAGGAGGGAGTCCAGAACGACCAGTTCTACCTGGTTTACGGGAGCCAGACCCTGGAGGAGGGGCGCAAACTCTCCGATTACAACATCTGCCCCGGGGACACCGTGACTCTGAATCTACGCGTGCGGGGCGGGCTGAGGAGCCTCTGGGGAGGGTCTCCCCTGTAACCTTCGGAGTTAGCGGAGGGGTTTCCCGGTGGCTCTGCTTCTTGTCCAACTCTATGCAGGCGCCCTCTGCTTCTCTTCCATCGGTGCCCCTGGTAGCTGTAGAGAAATATTCTGATTTTTTTTGTGGTTTTTTTTTTTTTTTTTGCCAACTTCCAATACTGGACATGAACCGAAAGAAAAGGTTTTGTAGCTCGAGGCACAACTGTGAAATCTGTCTTCCAATTCCCCTGATGATAAATACAAAATAATATCTGATATATACTGGGGACAAAAGAGAGAGAGCCAATATCCGTTGGCATTGAATTTGCTTGTTCCACCCATCCCAATTTCTATTTTTTGTTAGCCCCAAAGGAGGGCGAAGAGCGATTCTGTTCTTGAATCCTGTACCTTTATCGAAAGTTTTCTCCCTTGTTATTGTAGACTAGAAGAATTGTACTATGTAACTCTGTTTTTACCTTGACCCGGCTGTGAAATTTACAGCTTTACAAATAAAACGAATTCAATTGGCAAGTATTGTTCCTTTTCTCTGTTGTCTGGGGCTCAGCGGTATCCATTTTTATGTAAGGCAGAATTCAACCTCATTTTCTTGGGAGTTGCCATCTTGGAATGCACACAGAACTTGAACCTGATGGTTGACTTGGTAATGTTTTGGACAGTGGGGTATCTATGTTTGATTTTTATTCTTCAGAGGGTTTGGACTTTAACCCCAAGCTGCTCGATTCACTGGGGGCCTGCCAAGCCTAGGTTTGATTTGTTTTGGGGGTTTTTTAAAATGATTTTTTATTGAAAGTTTGACCAAGTTTAAAACCTAATCAAAAGAAAAGAAAGAAGAGAAAGAAGCAAAAGTAGAGAAAGAAAAAAATGAAAAAGTACCTAATCTTTTCAACAAATATAAATAGAAATTATAAAATGTACCTCTTGCTCTATTACAAAGGAATGCATATTATTTTCTAATCAAAGCCACAAATCACAAAGGCATTTTTCCTTTTTTATGAAAATCCTAAATTTCCAGGCAGCCATAAATGAAACTACTGGGGTTTTTTTTCTTTAATAAAAAAAGTTAGCCACTCCTAGGTAGCATCAAACCTCCCGTTTTTGAGCATGGAAGAAGAATCTTTCCTATGTTTTAAACCTGGGGTTGAAGGGGAGGGACAACAAACCATCATAAAAGGGGGGAGGTGCTGATTTACTAAAGAGCAGTAGGGGAAGGGGGAGGAGGGTCCTGTGGTATCTGTTGGAAGTAAATTATGGGACCAGTAAATTTGACCCAGTCACTTTCTAATCTTTCTCTAGAATTCACTTCCACCAATTACGGAGCTGCTCAGTTCAATGGCTCAGGCTAAAATCATGTTGAAGTGAGTCACATTAAGCTGGCAGATTATTTGGGCAGAATACACAATATCGGCACAGCACAGCAATTGTGTTTCATGAGCCTGGGTTGTGCAGCTGCATCTGGGGTAACCATGGTTTATACCCTGAAGCTGGCTGTCTGGATTGTGGTGATAAATGGCAAACAGACATCCATTTCTGTTCCACTGTAGAACAGAAAGAGTCTGGAATCTGGGGAAGTTGCACATAGGACTAAAAGGGACCTTGGAGGTCTTCTAGTCCAACCTCCTGCCCAAGCAGGAGACCTAGAGGGGAAAAACCCACTTAGGGTTAGGTCCCCATGAACCGGGAGAGCAAAATGGACATCGCCGAGGGATTCATAGTGCATTAGTGTGCTTAGGAGGGTGTTGAGTTTTGGAGCCCTCCCTATCTATGTTTCCTGGTAAAATACAATTAAGGAGAAACTTCCTAACAGAACAGTTAACCAGTGGAACAGCTTGCCTCCAGATGGTGTGGCTGTTTCATCACTGGAGGCTTTTAAGAAGAGACTGGGCAGCCACCTGTCTGAAATGGGATGGGGTCTCCTGCTTGAGCAGGGGGTTGGACTAGAGCCCTCCAAGGCCCCTTCCAGTTCTATTCTGATCGATTGATGATCATTGCAGATTGTGTGAAGGGTTTGAAGATTGTGAAGGCCTAGGGCTGGACAGAGGATGTGGTGCTTTTCAATGACAACAGGGGGCGGTCCTGCCCCAGGGATGAACATGGGTTTTTCTTGAGAATTGCAGGAGACAAAGGACCAGGATCTGTAAATCCCGCAGCCTTCCCTTGGATGAGCCAGCCTGTCAAGCGAAGGGTGGACAGCCTCTCGCTTGTACATCATCTCCCTGCGAAGCTGCAGCCTGGCACAATTCTCCAAAAAGCTTTTTGGGATCGAGACTTCCTCGCCGTAGTTTTGAGTTTGCTTGTCTTCTCGCTACTCCAATAAAAGAAGGGATACGATGGGTCTGGGGAATGTCTGGAGGAACATCTGGAGTTACGAGACCCCAAAAGTGATTGTGGTGAAGAATCCTAGCCTAGGCATCATGTACAGGCTGGTCCAGCTCCTGATCCTGGTTTACTTCATCTGGTAAGTGTTCCCACCGTCCTGGGAGAGAGATGGTGGTGGGGTATGCAAAGATGCTTGGGGAAGATATTGTGGTGTCTAACTCAAGGGACATAATGTGATGCATAAGAACATTTAGACAAGGAAACAAATGGGAATTTGTGACTTATGTGTATGTAGCTATTTCACGTTACATATTAATATTAGAGCCAAACAGCTGTGAGGAAAGAAGAAATATTTCTTCCTAAAAGCAAAAAGGTGCTGATTCCTAGGGTGACACTTGAGGGGCGTGTATGTACGTGTGTAGGTATATTTATTCTGGTGCACATGTAGTCCCTCTGGCAGGCCTAATTTAATTAACTCTGTGTTTGCAGACCTCATCCTTTGATATGTGGATTAGGACTGGGTAACTTATTTGGGGGTTTGAGGAAGTTGGAGGAAGGGGTTTTTCCCGTTTGCTATTTTTACTTGATTCATTTAGTTTCAGCTTGACCCTCAATAATCTAGTGGAGACCCTGATTCTCAGACCCTGGTGGATTCTGTTAATATTTTAAGGGAAGATGGAAGCCCTATAAAGAGTGTAATGCATTTTGATATAAAGCTTCTCAGAATGGGATGAGGCCCACTGTGTGAGCACAGCCACTGTCTTCTCCTCGGCTTAGCCTGAGTGAACACCATTCACCTCCATACTTTTGAGGTAGTTGGAACACCCCTGAAGTGAAAGGCGCTTTTTCTCAAGGGATGAATAAAAGTTGCTGGTAGGGAGACAGCTCTTCCCACTGGTCCTGCTGGCTGAAGTAGACTCTGCCTTAAGGAGTTGTTTGTGTGCCACTGGTGTCCTTCTTTTTGCCACAGGTATGTGTTTAGCAACCAGAAGGGCTACCAGGAGTGGGAATCCGGTCCAGAGAGCTCCGTCATTACGAAAGTCAAGGGGGTCACCTTCTCACAGCGCAAGGTGTGGGATGTGGAGGAATATGTGAAGCCCCCAGAGGTGAGACCCACCAGAGCAACTTCTCCAGGCAGTCAAAGGAGGAACATCTGGAGGGGGGGAAGGGCTTGGCCACCCTTACTTTGCTGGAAACTGCCAGCCTTGATCTCAGACTTAGGTTGCCCAAGGATGGGAGAAAAATTTGGTTGTAACTCTAAAGTCAGCTTCTCCTAGAAGTGGCTTCTTAAGAGTCCCAGCATTCAGACTGAGGGTTGGGTTTAACTTCCTTCCTTCCTTCCTTCCTTCCTTCCTTCCTTCCTTCCTTCCTTCCTTCCTTCCTTCCTGATTTATTTCTGGCTACATAATGTTGATTTCCACAAATCTTATGTCATGGCTCCTCCTCCTCAGGAAAATGTGGCTTTCCAGGCCAGGCTTGGACTGCCGCTTTCACCCACTCTTGTCTTCCATGCAGGGAGGCAGCATCTTCAGCATCATCACCCATGTGGAAGTGACCTCTTCACAGACCCAAAAGACCTGCCCGGAGGTAGGGAACATGGAGGCAAAGCGAGAAGCCATCACAAGCACAAACATCCCTGGAGAGAAGCCGGGAGGGGTTCTGAATATCAATGGACGAGCTCTTATTTTTTTCTATTCTACTTTGCTTTGGGTGCCCCAGTTGCGCATTTGAGGGCTTCTGTCTTTACTTTTAGTTTCTCATGCGGCCCCATCCAAGGTCCACGGGAACTGAAGCTTTCACAAAGCCTAGTGAGGCTATTGAAGTTCTCCCCCAATCCTTGGAAGCTGTGGGGGTTTGGATGGAGGGGGGGAACCCTTGCCTCCATCCTACCAAGACAGAATAGCAGCGACTCTTTGGCCCACTTTGACGTAGGGACTTTCCATCTTTAATCATACATCCATGATTAAAGATAGGAAATCCCCACAGCTCAGTGGCCCAAACAGCACTTTCCCATTCTAGGGCGGCGTGCAAGCTGGACTCACGGGTCCTGCTCAATGAGAGGTGGCACCTGTGGCCAGGAAGGCCTTGGCATCATGCCCTTTTCGGAGCCTTTCAGTCACTTGTGCCCTGTTCATCTTGCTCCTTGACTACTGCAATGTGCTCCATGTAAGGCTGCTCTTGAAGACCACCTGGGCTTGCCTTGATAGCCCCAGGTAGCACTTCTGCTTAACAAGCTGCACTAATTTGACGTGCAAGAGCTCCCCAAATTTAGAGACGTTGTCCACCTGTTTGATTTTCTTTGCCTGCCAATTTTTGGGAGGAGTTCCAAGGCCAATTTTTAATTTTATTTCAAGAAAAGGCTCAGCATCCAAGAAGGAAAATTCTTTGTTGGGCATGTCACCCCAATGTATCCAGGGTCCGGCATCTTTACTGACCACTAACCCCTCTCCTGTGTCTCTCTTCTGCAGAACCTGAGGGCCTCCTGCACGTCCGATCATGAATGTGCCAGGGGAGAGGTTGAGGTGCTGGGGAACGGTGAGTAAGGGGTAACCTCCCTTGGCGATGACAGTAAGTAGCCGCCAATCTTTGGGGGCCCCATTCCTTGAGACAGGATGGAGACAGCCATATCCTGAGCATAAAAGCAGGTATAAAGGGGAGACCTGCACTTTCTGATTTTGGCTTTTCTGCAGGAATGAAGACAGGGCGTTGTGTCCCCTACAACATCACCAAGAAGACCTGCGAAGTTATGTCCTGGTGTCCCGTGGAGAACGAGGCAACTTTCAGGTGAGAAAGGGCATGGAGACAAGCTGCTCTCCAGTCCAGCTGGGCCCTGACTGGTGTCTTAAACTGGAGTAAGAAGCTGGGCTCACGCCACACATCAAACCCCAGATTTTAACTTAGGTCTGGTGAGACGCAAGGGCTTGGCTCACGTTCCGTATGAAGTTGTCATTTTTGGCTTGCAAACCATAATAGCTGGAGTATGTACTCAGATCGAATAAATTTGGGTCTAGATCAGTCCCACGATGGTTTAGAATGAATGGGAGGGTCTGCTGCATTTCCTGCAAGTAGGTGGATATTTCACAAGCTGGAAGGATCTTGCTCACTTTCAGAAATTAACAGAGCTCCTCCTGGCAAAGTTAGCAAGGAAGCCAAAAGGGAAAGCTGGGCACTGATTACTTGGCGTTTCCTGTGGTCAACTTCATTTTATTTCTAGATCTAGGTGAAGGTTTGGGCCTGAAGTTAAGCTTGGTTGTAATCCCTCCAGAGAGTTAGGAAGGGAAGAATCCCGGCACTTGGATTTCATAAAAGCCAGAAGGCAGGTTTGTGGTTCCTGTTAAGTTTGGCTCCGTCTGAATGTGGCTTTTTTTTCTTCTTTTTGACTCCATAGTGAGAGTTTGGCAACAATGGCTCCAGAGTTCACCATTCTGATCAAAAACAGCATCCATTTCCCTCGCTTTCACTTCTCCAAGTAAGGACCTAGTGGACGATCCCTTAAACACAGCAGCAGACAAAAAAAAAAGCCAACACAATCCTGGGCTGCATAAAGGGAGGCACAGAATCAAAATCATGTGAAGGCTCAGTGCCGCTTTATAAAGCTTTAGTAAGGCCACACCCGGAACATGCTGCATCCAGTTTTGGTCATCACATACAAAAAGTTGTTGAGACTTTGGGGAAAAAGTGCAAAGAAGAGCAACTAAGATGATTAAGGGCCCAGAGACAAAAACATATGAAGAGTGGTTGTAGGAATTGGGTATGGCCAGTCTAGAGAGAAAAAAAAACGGGGGGACGGGGACATGATAGCAGTATCCCAGTATTTGAGGGGTTGTCACAGAGAGGAGGGGGTCCACCTATCTCCAAAGCACCAGAAGGCAAGACAAGAAACATCACAATTGGCCTATGGTTTTTAGCTAATCATCCTGGTTTGTCTTTGCCCTAGAGAGAACGTCAAGGACAACAGAGATGGATACCTGAGGAACTGCACTTTCAATGAAGCCACAGATCTTTATTGCCCCATCTTCAAGTTAGGCTTCATTGTGGAACAGGCAGGCGAGAACTTTTCCGAACTGGCTGAAAAGGTAACTGTCTCACCTGGGGCGTTTTGTCTCATTACTGTGTTACGTTAAGTTGGGGGGGGTCACTATGTTTGGGGGATGGAGAGAAAGGGGCAGTGGATTAGGTGCTAGTCTAGATGTGGGAAAACCCAGATTCTAGTTTCCGGTCCCAGAGGCAAGCTGGATGGCCTTCAGCTAGTGCCACCCCCTCAGCCAGTCTGGTGGTGTGGTGAAGGCGTTGGGGGAGATCCCTCGGTTCAAGTTTTGAGAATACTCAATCAGTGGGAGTGGTGGGTGCTCCATCACTGGAAGTTTTTAAGAAGACTGGAGAGCTACCTGTCAGGAATGGTCTAGGGTCTCCTGCCTGAGCAGGGGGTTGGACTAGATGACCTCCAAGGCCCCTTCCAGCTCTAGTCCGATTCTGATTCTTTTGGCTCTGCTTTTGCCTGATAGGGCGGGGTGATCGGTGTGATCATTAACTGGAATTGCGACCTTGATCTGCCAGAGTCTGAGTGCAACCCCAGATACTCCTTCCGCAGGCTGGACCCCAAATGGACTCAAGTTTCCTCCGGCTACAATTACCGGTAAAACTTTAAACAATTTTGCAAGCTTTTTTCTGGGGTGGGAGAAAGACTCAAGCCCTTCTGGGCTTTTTTCTTAGGTCCGTAGGTGTGTAAGTGTGTTGCGGCTGTCCTGCTGCTTGCTTCACTTCGCAACCTGTCAGCCTAACATATTTGCAATGGGGGAGGGAGGAAGAATTGGAAGGAGGGAGGAACATGGGGGGGGGGAGTGTTGAATCCACTCTGTGCCGGGCAAGGAGGCGGCACCGCTTCAGCTCAAGGCCACTGAAAGAATGCAGAGACGGAGAAGCTGCATCAAAGCAACTCTGTTCCCAAAACAAGTATTACTAATTGGACACTGACCAATTGTGTATGTCTGTATGTGGGGGATTTCCTGATTCCCCTGTTTTCTGCTTGCTTATCCCCCCCTCCCCCAAGAGAGGAAAAGTAAATCTGGTCAGATGGAAGGACTAAGAGATGAGTTTCTTAGAACAGGAAGGCCACGTTTTTTTATCTTTGGATAGAAAAATATTCCAGCTGCCAGATCAGTTTTTTTTAAATCATCTTCTGGGCGTCTCAAGCCAAGCCTCAAAAGGAGCTGTTTCCTTCTGGAGGACTGTGTGTTTGGGGGGGTGTCACCCATATACAGCTAAACCACGTTCCGCTTTTAATTTTCCAGATTTGCAAAATATTATCAGCAAGGTGGACGAAGCACACGCACCTTGATCAAAGCCTATGGAATCCGCATTGATGTCTTGGTGCACGGGCAGGTAAAGGCGCCTCCATTTATAGTTATGGAATAATGGCCGTTTGGTTGAATTGCTGACAGGAGGTTTTGTGGAATCTCCCTTCTTTAGGCTGGGAAATTTAGCCTTATTCCTACCATCATCAACCTGGCCACGGCCTTCATGTCCATCGGAGTGGTGAGTAAGCAACCTTGGGGTGCCCCTGTCCAGGTCTCTTCATGTACTGATCATCTTTCCCCCACCCCCTTTTTTGGCAGGTATCCTTCCTCTGTGATTGGATATTGCTGACTTTCATGAATAAGAACAAGGTGTACAGCACCCGAAAGTTTGACCAGGTATGGCAGCAGGTCACAGTCTCCCTATTTTGGTCTTCGAGATAGGCTCCCGTGTGCTAGACTGGTTCATGGGCGCAGGCCAGTTAAGAGGGATAGGCAGTCATAGTTGTCCGAGAACACATTCACGGCACCATCGTCCTGGGGCTGCCACATTTTTTTTCATAACAGCTGGCTGGCCAAGGAGAGTCTTGGGATGCTACCAAGTTCGCAACATGAAAAAGGAGCAGGAGGGTTGTGGGGACTCCTTGCTCTCAGAAAGCTGGTCCATCATCTGGGAAAACAAGTTATGTTTGAAGGAAACAGCAGAAGAACAGAATGACAGAGCAGGGAGGGACCTTGGAGGTCTTCTAGTCCAACCCCCTGCTCAGGCAGACAACCCTATTCCGTTTCAGACAAGCGGTTGTCCAATCTCTTCTTAAAAACCTCCAGTGTTGGAGCATTCACGGCTTCTGCAGGCAAGCCGTTCCACAGATTGTTCTGTCAGGAAATTTCTCCTTAGTTCTCGGTTGCATCTCTCCTGGATTAGGTTTCTCTGCCCACAAATGTAGGGAATTGTTTTAAAAAGCCATCTGCGCACACTAGATACTCACTGTTTGTTTTTTTCTCTCTTTCTCTGGCCAGATATCAAAGAGTCCCAAGGCCTCTGTGAACATTGAATTCAGTGCCACCCATTTCGGCCCCCAATGCCCTCTGAGGCCCTAGACTACCTTTTCTGTCCAATCTGCCTTGGTTATGTCTGCATCTGATGACTTTGCCTCTTCCCAGAAAAAGCTCCCTCTACCACGTGTGTCATCGGAGCTGCCAAGGAGCCCTCCTGTTCACCGAATCCATTTCCAGAATCCATTTGCTCTCCTGCGAATTATTCGAGGGAAGAGAGAATGGACTAATTCAGGTTAACTAATTTTATTAAAAGATGTAATAAGCCTTTCTGAGCTGCACAAAAATGGTAGCCTGCAAAGTGGCTACCAGATTCCTTGTTTTTTTGGCTATGCTGGACTAACGTGGCTAGCGTACAAAAGAAAAGAACCTGGACATTTTTCGTCCTGGCTAAATACAGACTGTTTTTAATCTCTATGGAAAGTTTGGGAAGAAAAAAGGGGATGCTGGCAACCAACTCACGTTTATGACGGTTGCAGCGTCCCAGGGTCATGTGATCAATCCCCTTTCGCAACTTTCTGGCAAGCAAAGTCATTCACCATTTGACTAATTTAACGACTTCAGCGATCCGCTTAGCAAATGTGGCAAGAAAAGCCGTAAAACAGAGCAAAAACCCACTTCGCAAATGACTCACTTGGGGTGGCAAGTGAATTAGGGGCTTGGACTCAAGTTAACCTCAAGGATACAGTCTCTGTATTCAAAAGAGTCCAGAAACGCTGGAAATAAATCCCAAGTTCCATTCCACGGAAACAAAGCCCTCTTCTTTGCGTCCGTTTCCTGAGCGAAAAAGCACAGTCGGGCCACGTGAATAGCAGCTAATTGAATCAAACAATTCACACAATCTAATTAGTTGCCCGAGGAACCGGCTTCGGGGAAGCTCAGGCACTTGAGAGTTGCCTTTATCTACTGTTTCAAAAGGGTCAATGGGGGGGGGGCACTGGGGAGCCAGGCTGATGGCACTTTGCAGAAAACGGATACCGCAACCAGTAGATAGATTGTACTGTTTTTCAGGCCGAGGGCTTCACTCTGTCTTGAAGTGACATGCAGAAAAAGATGCGGGATCAGGCCCCAGAACTCAGCCTAGCTGGGACAAAAACTGACTCACATTTATGACGGTTAAGGTGTCCCGGGGTCACGCGATCTCCTTTTGCAATCTTCCGACAAGCAAAACCAGATTCGCTTAACAACCGGATTACTAATTTAAGAACGGCAGCGACTCACTCAACAATCGTGGCATCAAAGGGGGGGTAAAACGGGACAAAACCCACAAATGTCTCACTTAGCAACGCCAATTTGGAGTCAATTTCCCAGCCTGTCTGCTCAGGTCTGCTCAGCCAGGCAGATGAAGCAAAGTCCTTGATCAGGCCTGAACCCCGTTGCTCTGAGGCAGCGGTTCTCAACCTGTGGGTCGGGACCCCATTTGGGGTCGAACGACCATTTCACGGGAGTCGCCAAGCAACGCAGTCCGCCATTTTTTCCCCCTTTTCCTTAGCTGTGCTACTCCCTTTTATTCTATTGGCTTTTCAAAGCCAATACAATAGACTCTCTTGAATAGAGTCTAATTCTATTGGCTTTCAAAAGCCAATAGGAATGGTCCAGGCGGTCTCTGCCCTGCTGAGCCTGCCAAAAGTCCCATTCTGCAAACGGTGCTGCACCAGTTGAGTAGTCCCCGACTTACGACCGGTTGAGTAGTCCTCGACTTATGACCGGTTGGGGGGGGGGGTCGCGGCATTAAAAAGGTTGAGAACCACTGCTCTAAGGATTTGATGGCTTGCACAGGGAAGGCTAGCCTGTTTTTCTCTTCCTGCTTCTCGCTCTCCCCTGCCCCACTTCAGATAATGGCTGTGGCGCCACTGCTGTCTTTCTGCGTGTCAAGATAGACGCTGCTGCTGCCGTTGGCTGGTCGTAAGGAGGGGCTCAGACAGCCCAAGAGGAATCGGGTTTCTTCCCCTCCTTGATGAGACCTAGCCAAATTTCATTAGGGTTCCCATTAGGAGCCATCATGACTTCCTGACTTATTCATGTGCCGTCAGAGATGCCTCTCTTCAGCCAGGAGGGAAGAGCCGGCTTCCTTGGAAAGCAGATCAGAGGGGGCTGGAGCTAAACAAGGGAATGATCCCTCCCGGTTTTCAAAGGAAGGACTGAAGTTGGGAAATCTGCCTCCCTCAGCGGAGGCTGCCGTTGGTCCCAAATGGGTAGACAGTCCAGCTGGGCTCGATTAGAAGAGGTCCCAGCTCCTTCCAAAGCTGTTAATTTTATCTTATGCCATCAAGCAGTTTTATTTCCTTGGGCACTGCGTATCATCATCTGCTTCATTAATTTGCATCTAGGCTGGTTGAACTCTATTTATTAAATATATTGGCAAAAGCTGGGTGGACGGAAAAGAGATTTATAGCACAAACTTAAAAAAAAAAAACAAACCCAAAACCGAAGTCAAAATAAAAACAGCATAAAATCTGGGCAGAAAAATGCCTCCATAATCCAAAGTTTGTTCCGGGTCTGTAAAAAGGTGGGGGGATAAAAAGGGGAGGGGGACAAGGATCACCCAGAGACTCCTTGCATTATTTCCGCGCTGAGTTTCATGAGACATGTCACCCTCATTCTGACAAGAGACGCCACAAGGCCTTAATTCTCTTGAGGTTTCCACGCAAGACGGGACAACCTTAAGGCCTGCAACTTCTGCTCCCAGGGCGAGGCCTTCCTTTGCCAGCTGCCTATACAAGCAGTTCTCTCCTTAGGACATCACAGCCAGGACGAGAAGGAGACCTGTGCATATTTGGGTGTTGTTTCGGCCCGAAAGGATGGAAGGGGGGGGGTCCTCTCAGGAGAGAAGCTGAGGGTTCATTTGAAGCAGCCACTGAACATTCTCCAGCAAGTGGGCCATTCCGTAATGCCGAGCGATGCCCTGGAAAACCTTCAGATGATCCAGGAAGCTCTGGATACGAGAGGAAAGAGAGAGGACGAAGGGGAGGTGGGCAACCCTCCAGCAGGGGATGGGGAGGAAGGGGGAAGGCGCTTTGCCCATCAGCGGAGAACAAAAAGTCAAGCAGCTGAGGGTGGGAGGCTGGGAAAAAGCTAGAAAGTGGCCTTTACCTTGGTGGGCAGAAGGAGGTCAAAGTTCCCAGCACAACTGCAGTACACGGGCATGTGAGTATCCTTGATGCCTTTGCACTTCAAGCACACCTGAAACGCTCAAGACACAACGAATTAGACTCTGCTTCAGATCCCCCCAGATAATGATCTGTCCTTGCAAAGTTTGTAGCAAGCTCAACACCCGTCCTCGGCACGCACCAGAAGCCCACGGTCCATGCCCTGTACTCCAGGGCGTAAAATGTCCAACCACTGAATCCCCTCTGAGCTGCTCAGAGACGGAGAGGGCTAGAAAGACTATGAGGGAAGACCACTGTGGCCCAGCACCACCTCCTCACTCATTGTCTATGGAGAGTCTCAGCCGTCCAGGTCGTGGCTGTCCCAGCAGAACCGTCCGCGTGGGCGGGCGTCCTGGCCAGGGGAGCAGTGACCCCACCCCTCCTCACCAGATCTTGCAAGGTGAAGGCCATCAACTTCTTCTGCAGGGCTTCCACCAGAGCCACCTCGATGGCATCGGAGTCGTACTGAGACTGGCAATTGGAGCACAGCCAGCTGGGCGGCAGGGAGCCCTCCTGGAAGAGGGGGAGGAGGACTTGTGGATGGGCTTTGAAGGAGAAAGAGGGAGAAGGGACTTGCAGGGGATCGGAGGCACTGCCATGAAAGAAGGACTAGGGAACCGTGCAACAATGCAGAGACCCCCCCAACATTTGTAGCTTGGTGGTCCTGCAGAGGGGGGGAGGGGAACCGGGCTGTGTGAGCGGTGGGTGCACAAGAGCATCTCAACTTGTGCAAGTGGCATGCCGGTGTGCACACACACACACACAGTTCAGCCGCATGCATGTGCCCCGTTCTGCAGCTTGCACAGCCCGGCTGCAATTAGGCCACGGCTTGCTAATGGCCTGTGGGTTGGGGACCCCTGCAAGAAAGGATGGACAAGGTCAGGAACAGGCTGATTGTAGGCACCTGGAAATGTAAGGATTTTGAGGTATGAAATGCAGGAGAGAAACAGAGAAATTAAACAGAAAAGCCTGGAGGAGTCCAGGTCTAGGTTCCCTGCTTTTTTTTTTTTTTTGCACCCAGACCGCAACTCCCGTAGGGAAGAGGGGCGGGGGAGACCAGAAGCAGGTGGCCAGCGGAGGGCCTGCAGTCCTGGGAAGCTGGCTACCTGAAAGAGCGCAGGGTCCTTGCAGAGATCCAGGTCTCTGCAAAAGTTGCAGTTTCTGCAGATCACCTCCGGGAGGACGTAGGAGCAGCAGGGGTCCCGGAAGTGGGCGTCCTCGGAGAATTCGCCCACGTCAATGAGACGGAGCAGGTCCCGCTTCAGCTTCTGCACCTGGTTGGTGATGTTGGCATCCAGAGACAGCACCTGGGCGAGAGAGGGAAAGGGAGGGTGTCAGCGGGGGCCACTTTGATCTTGGGCTCAGGAGATAAGCAGGACCAGCAAACACAACTGGGTGTGTGTGTGTGTGTGTGTGTGTGGGAGGGTTAGGGTGGTAGAGTTTCCACCTTCAAAGTTTCCACCTTCAAAGGCCAAAGGAAATTTCCCCTGTGGAATTTCTGTCTGCCTCTTAACAGAACTCCCAGATCCGCACAGAATAGTTCATGCGTGTGATGGAATATATAGCCCTCATCTCTGGCAAAATATATAGCATTTCCCCCCAACCCCCTCCAGTTTTTAACCATTAACAATCCAATTATATGGTGGACAAGAGTGAATGGCTCAAAGCTCCTTTCTTGGCTTAGGGGAGGACTCGAATCTGGGTCTTCCCAGGTCTACTCCAAACCATCACCTTTCCGACCGGTGGCCTTGGGAGTTGTGCCCAAACGCATCTGGGAGGGGCTCAGCCAACTCACCCACCCCCTGCTTGGACTGGGGGACCCCGAGATCATTCTTCCTGCTCGCTCCATCCCAGCCCTTCCTCCTCCTCCTCCTCCTCCTCCTCCCAGGGGATTCCCTCACCTGACAGACGTGCTTGATGAACTCCAGGGCAGGATTGTTGAGCGTCAGGTGTGAGCCGGGCAAGGATGGAAACATCTCCGAGGGCTCTGTGGTGTGGCGAGAGCCGGTGACCTTCTTTTGGATCTTCTGAGTGATGGTGAAGAAGCTCTGGGTGAGCTCGTTGGAGACATACTCCTGCGAGAAAGCAATGGCGCCTAGAAGGGGAGGAGCAAGTAGACACAGCCGTTCGCCGATGGGGAGGGGGCTGGCATTGAGAGAGACAAGCCCCCCACCCAAAAAAGCCGCACACTTTATGCTTTCTTCAGGGTGGGGAAGACATTTCTGTCCAGGCGAGAGAGAGTCTTAAGTTCAATCGATCAGGATGGAGCTGGAAGGGGCCTTGGAGGTCTTCTAGTCCAACCCCCTGCTCAAGCAGGAGAGTTATCCAATCAAGCTCAGGTCTTGCAGTCTTCTGACGGAGGAAATCTGGCTGCCAAATTTAAATAAGTAGCCTGGAATTGCTCTTTGAGCTCCGAGTTTCTGACTTACCCACTGGGTAAGTTCATGGTCTTCGGACGCTTAAAAGATCAACTCTCTTGGCACTTGGCCACAGCCTATCACTTGGCGAAGGAGAAGGAAGCTGGGAGCTAGTGAGTACTCGCCTGGCATGGTGCCCGTTTCCCCGAGAGCCTCCTGGGAGGTTTGGCTGCTGGCTCGTCTC